TTTTTCTAAAATCTGTAGAGCTTGCAGGACTAACAAACTCCATACTAATTATTTCCTTTTATGTTTTCCAAAAGGAATGGCTTTCAAAAGGACACGGAGAATACAGAGAAATCCCCAGTGAGAGAGACTTTTTCCAAGAAGTCAAAGAAAGTAAAAATGTTGTTTGCCATTTCTATAGAGATACAACGTTCAGGTATAATATATAAGCCATGCTGAAGAAACCTTTTGTGTAGAGGTGTCTACAAAAACAGATGCGTTCTTTTATTCTTTCAAATCCCTTAAATAAGTAGGCATTTTTAGAAGTATTCAAATTCTTTTATTACAAATCTCAATTTTCAAGACATTTGATTTTTTAAAAAAATGTATTTTTTCCATTACAGTTATTCTGAATACGACTTGACAACAATTATATAGTTTTATATATATGTGTAGTTATATAGTTGTTTAAAACATAAATGTATAACCTTATTACAGTATTTGAGAGACTGCTGTGTTTCATTATTGATTTAGTTTGAGGCAGCCAGGTCTGTAAGCACAGTGACCATAGCAGAGCAGCATTTCAGAAAGATGTCTTTGGTTATTCCAGATAGAAATATTCTGGGCAGATCTGGCAAACAAGAATAAAATACAACCAAACTCTTGTCTATGCATCTTGAGAATTTAACCTTTTAGTTTTAAAGGATTTCTGGATACAAATTGCAGCTGCTTTCCCTTTGTGACTGTGCCTTTGTGATTATGTCAGTTTCTTAGGGTACAAGACACCTAGATCTGAGAATATGTCCTGACTCAGAATAGGAACTGAAAATGAGATCTCCCACTTCCTTGGAAGAATTTCAGAAGGTCTGGCGTATAGGCTGTTCCTCATTGGGTCTCTTTCAATGTGTTCTGTTAAAATGCAGTTGGAAAGTAGAGTAGTTTATTGAAGGAGGAGCCAGTTGTCCTGCTTTTGGTTTGTTGGGGTTTTTTTCCCCCCAAAGGTGTTATGTTCTCTCTAGCTCACAGAATATAAACTGAAACAGCCTCAGTGTGAGAAATTGAAAGAGGTCGAGGCTGGATTATGCAGTGAGGTATCTGTGTCCCACATTCTCTAAGTTCAGTGTTTTAAGTTTCAGAAACACACAAAGTGGTTCTATCTGGCTAACATTTACTCAAAGAAGTTGAAAGCTGTCACTGCAAATAAAGTAGCTTAGAAACAGGTTTAGGTTCTTTGATTCTTATGTCTTGAACCAGAAGGGTCTGGTAGACTCAGACAGGACAAGGAACTTTAGAGGAAGTGCTTTGTGAAATGTAAAATTTCAGCAATAAATGCGATCCTCAGGAAACGAGAGAGAGGCTTTCAGGTCTATGTGGAAGTAATTAGGAAGAAATTAGAGAAATGGATGGTGTAATTGTGCACTAAAGGTGCTCCCGGCTGTTCCTCTGTTAGTCATTGAATCCAGCTACCTCTAAAACACAGTTTCTATTGAAACTAAATTCTTAATTAGAAAGGTCATGTCTGAGGTAGTAACATGATAGAACTAGCTCTTTACTGCTCCTTTTAAACTTTCTCTAAAATACGTGTTATTCACTGTATTCATTTTAATACTTTACATATTTTGGGTAATTTTTTCCACAGGTGCCAAATAATGGACAAGCATTTGACTGTATTGGCAAAAAAGCACATTGAGACAAAATTCTTGAAATTAAATGCTGAAAAATCTCCTTTCTTGTGCGAGAGACTGCGAATCAAAGTAATTCCCACTCTAGCACTAATAAAAGATGGAAAAACGCAAGACTACGTTGTGGGCTTTACTGATCTCGGTAACACTGATGACTTCACTACAGAAACCTTAGAATGGAGATTAGGCTGTGCAGACATAATTAATTACAGGTAATTAATTGTTTTGTGGTTGTTTTATTTTCAGATAAAGTGCAAGGAGAACATACTTGCAGACAGGAAAATCTGTGGAAGTTTTTAACTTTGATACAAGAGTTTATTCTGAATGCTCTCGCAAGGGAAAGAAGAGAATGTCTTGGGCAAAGTATTGAGCGTTGTGTTATGTTGTCCTTTTTGTATAGTAATAGAAATAAAGCCAGTTCTTGCCATGAGGTGTATGGAGTAGCTGTGCTGCTTTGATATGGCCTCAGAGTCATGTGTGTAATGTAATCCTCTCTAAATTGGCTGTAGATGCTTCTTGTTGCAGCTGCAACGCAGTAAAATCTGAGCATTTTCAATCCACCTCAGAGAAAACTCAGCAAGTCATCTTTAGTCCATATTACACACATGGATATGTTTGTTTTCCAATGAACAGTACAGAAAAGGAAAATAAGTCGACGAAGTGTAAAGAAATCATTTGAGTACCAGTACAATATAATCATAATAGATACCACATTAAAGACTACAGGACAGAAGGCAGTAGTAGATATGTCACCACGATAGCCTACCTTTACAGGAGAGTTATTTATCAAAATTTTCTGCTTTGCTTTCCAGTGTGGCTCAAATGTCATCTTTATCTTTTTAGATTAATTTTGGTCTTTTGTTTTTAATGTCTTTGGCACATTTTTAAACTTCTGAATTTAATCTGAATTTATTTAAATGTCTAGTGTCCAAATTTTGTCAAGAAGTATTGTTGTATCTTAAAGCCAAAGAAACTACTGTTCTGTTTGGCTTAGTAGCTGTTGAACTTCAGGTGAAATGACTGAAATTAAAATTTATAGCTCAGAACAAGTGGTAATTCCGAGTTCAGTAACGAGCAAATCAGCAAAGGAGTCAAAGACAGCTTGGATGTATATTCTAGACAACAACAGCCTTTTATGGGAAAAGTCTTTCACAGGATTTATACCAAACAACATTGAATTTGCTAAACGTGAATACCTTGTCTTATGGCATAATTCTGCTTCCTACTTGACCTTAGTGGTACTGTGTATTTGGTTTTGGCTCCTTGTGCTGTGGGGAAGTTGTTTCATTTTTTTTGTTCATTTTGCCAGACCCTGGGTTTGCAAAGTGAGCCATGTTTCCACACTGCTCTGAAAATAATGTCCTGCTCTCTGGAGCTCCTTGAAAGGGCATAGTCTTCCTCAGAGCCTAGAAATAGTTATTTGCTTTCAACCTGTGGGATAGCAGATGGTGAAAGGATAAACTGTATTTAGGACAAAAACGGTTCAGGTCAGTATGCTATGCTGGCAACATCACAGTGCTACTTAAAATGGCTTTAGGGAGTAGGTGTTGTGTTCTCTTACAGCGGTTTTCTTTCTGGGAAAACAGGTCATTAGAGGATACTGCTTATTGTCTGTATGAATATGTCTTTAATCAACTTGTCTTACCCTTTTCCTCTAGTGGAAACTTGATGGACCCACCTTTTCAAAGTCAAAAGAAATATGGAACAAGCTTTACAAAGCTGGATAAGAAGACCATCAGAGGAAAGATATATGATTCAGATTCTGATGATGACTAGAAGAGCCACTAAATATATTTGTAAATCATCTTTTGTTTATGCGTGATACATTTCTAAGAATGTTTTTTATAAAGCTTACTGCTTTTCATTACATCTGCACATAATTCTCATTTTTCTATACAGTTTTATACAACTGAGTCATAGCAGAAAAAAGCTTAAATATTTTTTTTCCTCTTTTGGAAGTCATTTGTAATTCAGAAATCTTAGTCCTTCTAACTAAATGACATGGCAAATGATGAATTTTGGTTTTATTAAGTATAAGTTTATGAAACGTTTTGAAGTAACTTAGAAACAGCTGTACGAAGTCAGACCAAAGGTCCCTCTGGCCCAGCATCCAGTCTCAGTGGCTAAAAGCAGATGCACAAGGAGGAGTGAAAACAGGGTGAGCAGATAGCAATGCTTCCCCACAATCTGTGGCTTGGGAAACTCTGTATCTGAGAGCATTTGCTGGTTAAAATAATGGAAGAAAGATCTCTTTAAAACCTCATAGTATCCAGGTATCCACCTCATGTGGCAAGGAGGCCACAGTTTAACCGTGTTGTGTGAGGAACTAATTCCTGTTGATTTTGTTAAATCTGATGATTACAGGAGTTTCTTTCTGTTTTTTCTTTATTAAAAGAGGTAACAGACACTTTAAAAAAATTATTTTTCTCCATCAGTTCCTCTTCCAGTTTTTTATAATTTATTCTTACTTATATTATCAGTAAAACCCAACAAAATTATTAGTAAATAAATTGTGCATTTTAACAAATGATTGCTTATCTTATGGTGCCATATCATGACATTAAATAAATTCTAACTGCATCACGCTATAAGTTGTAAAAACAGTCATAACTTCTGTGAATTCTGAAACAGATGGCCAGGAGAAATGCCTTTGTACCATCTATGTCACGACACTGCATGTCAGAGCTGATACAGCGGGTAAGAGCACATAGCAACAAGCATATTGAAAACTGCCTTGTTGATGGGTTTGTATAATTCTGTGGTTGTGAATGTGTGGATTTTATAGGAGATGCTTTGTACAAGATTGTAGAATAGAGAAAAGTATTTGGGAGAAACCTTGATCGTTAAGTTTAGATACAGCACCGCATACTGTGTACTGTTCTTCAGTATTGGGCAGAATTTTCAAGGGATATCTTCCTTGGGCACAATGTAAAATTTCTGACTAGGTGAAGAGTTGATGAGTTTTCTTTTTGTTTTCAAAAAAATAATTTGCTTTGTGCTGAAGGACCCTTTTTGAGGTGGTATTTGAATCCTTTTGGTCCAAAAAGCAGTGAAGTGGGTCTAGTCAGTCTTGCTGCCTTGTAGTGGAGAACACTTGTGATTGGGCCAGCCCAGCAATATATCTCTTTAAGTTTAAAAAATTATATTTTATTTCTGTTCATGTACATTGAAATAAAATTATTTTAATTCTAATGTTGACTACTGCATCCTTTCAAAGAAGGAACTCTAGGTGCTGTGGGTTAATTTTCTTTTAATAGAGTCCATCAGAAAGTTTTATGAGCTCTTTCTAGATTTCTAGTGAACTACTTATAGTTCTGTCTTAACACTACAAGATCACTGAGAAGGCAAGAAGGCAGTCAGCTTAAGATGTACACAGCTGCCTCTTCATCCAGGAGAAGTATAAAGTAGACTTCCTTCGAGTTGATACCCTTTTTAATGCACAAACTCTCCAAATGCATTAGAAAGCACTCCTTTTTCTTTTGTTCTTCATCCAATTGCATGAAATTGAGGAAACCAGTGTTCCAACAGTATCTTTATAAGTGCCTTAGCAGGACTCCTCTCTGAGTCTAATAATGTTGAATAGGCCATGGAAATATAAAATCATGTCTAATGCAGTTGCGTGCTGTGTGGAAACGTGGGCTTGTCAGGATTCCAGCATGGTGCGTTGTTGGAGGTTACTCAGTTCCACATGTGAAGAGCCTCATTACAAACTCAACACAAATCCTACTCAGAGTCTGTGGTTTCCTGTCACTTTAAGCTGATGATTTCTTTTTTTCTAGGTTAATCTTCCTTCATTCTTCCTGGGAGCTCTTTCTTCATCGGGCTTGTAACATGAGCACACGTACTCCAGTGCTGATACAAGGAGTTTGCAGGAATGTGTGCTTTGGGTAGAATCATAGAATCGTGGTCTGGCCTGAGTTGGAAGAGACCTTAAAAATCATCTAGTTCCAACCCCCTTGCCGTGGACAGGGACACTCTTGCCATGGGTGAAGAGGGAAATTGAGACTGTTTGTAATAATAAGTTTAACTTTATTTTGAAGTAGCAGTCTTATAGATCTCTTCCTTCATATCTTCCTTCAGTTCTTTCATGTCTTGAATGAACACTAAAACTGTTACTGAACAGTCCTCTTGGTAACATTTCCATTCCACATATTACTTTGATATGAACAATCTAAACCCAAAAATGTTGTTTTTGCAGAAACCTATAAGTTCTTCAAGAAATGGGAAATTGGTCTAGTGTGAATACTGAGGAACAAATTCTTCTGTTGTGGAGTTCAATGATTTTGCAGTGCCTTTGATTTAATGAATTGTCCATGATAATAAAACCCGGGACAGCCAAGCTAGAGGTGTCACAATACAGAGAACACCAGCTGAAACAAATGCCAGCTGTTCAGACTTGAAAAGCAGAAAGATTAACTTCGTTAGCAGCGATCTAGTGGCCACCTGTCTAATAAATGAGGTGATGATGGTGATACTCAACATCCAGAAAGGGCTCATGTTGCACATGGTTAATTGCTTGTGGTAGATAGGTGAATATATGAGAACATGACTGACTACGGTTCCTGAGTCCAGGCTAATCACAAAATGGTACCTGGTGTGGCACATGTTAGCAATGAAAGGCTCTTTGACAGCAAAGAGATGAGAAATGTTCACATCTAGCTTGGAAGTGAGGGGCCTTACGCCCAAACTCAGCATGTCACTTCAGTAATGATTAGTGCTTCAGTCTGGGCTGGGTGCTTGCATGAAGTGAACATCGAAGAAATGCATGAAGGCAGTAATAACCAAACAGGACCTGGTTTGTTCAGCTCTTAATGCTGGATTGTTTGGACTTCACTGGACACTTTGATTGCTGATTGATCTTGTGTTTCCCTTGTGATGGTCTGCTCAAGAAATCCACCCAGAAATTAAGTGCTGAGTTGAGCTTTGGGATTTGGAAAGAATGAAGAAGTCTAGTCCCAGACAGAGAGAAGACAAGAAACAAACTCTGTAGAAGGGGACAACAGCACAGCTGCTCTCAGACCTCGTTAGCAGGCTGGATCACTTGCAAATGTCATAGGGAGTCATTGTGTCATGAGTGTCATTGAGGGAGGCCAACTCAAAAGATGAATTGATGCCTTCTAGTCCTGTGTTCCAAGTAACCCCCATTGTGCTATTTACCATCTGGAAATTCTAAAAGGAAAACTTTTCTACGTAATTTTCTGTAGCAAATTTAGGCTTTGAACAGTACAGTTTCTAAAATAAGCCCTTTGTCTTCCATGTAAGAGCAAAGCTGGTGTCTTCAACTCAGTGTGAGGAATGCTATAATTTCATCTCCCATATTCACACACAAACAAGCACAAGCTGATGCAGAAATAAGATGGCTTTTGTACTCATTGCATATACAATAGCTGGGTATTTCAGGTTTTGAAAGGAAAATTCTTTCAGTAGTGGGTTGATCTGTCTGTTTGTTTAGAACAGCTGTATACAACTGTTTGAGAGTGAGAGTCACGCTCTGGAGTTGAAGAAAAGCCTCTCTAGGAATTGGAAGTAGAGGGTACTTGATGTTACAGTAAAATATTTTAGAATGTTCTGAGGGGAATATTGCCCCTGAGCCCCCTTTAAAGGATAAATAGAGGTTCCACCACATTTGCCAAGAAAAGGTCTACTCTGAACTTTTGTTCTTGGATCATGCTTTGGAGCCTTCAGCAATAAGCCTGTCCGGTATGATTGTGGTGATCCAAGACAGTGCAGCCTGGCAGCTGCTCCTTGTTACCTGTCCCCCTGCAGAGCACCATTCTGTATCCTGTGCTACAAAAGGGAACTTATGCTCATACCTTCTTCATCAATTTAAAGGTATCACATCAAACTGGCTGAAGTAGTACATAAGACCCCAAAGCCTCACCCAAAAAACTCTTGTTCAAACTTGGTGAATTAATTTTAAGTGCATGTGCACTGAGAGAGATTTGATGCTTGTGGATGGAAAGGAAGTAGTTAAGAAAACGTGCTTTTAGAAATCCTATGAGGTGCATGTTGTAAAGCTACATTTTTTTGGATCAGTTATTACAGCCCTGGTTTAAGCTGCCTAAAATAAACCACAACTGATCCAGTAGCCACATAGCTCAGTGTTGAATCTGTTAATATATTTTGCCTTTCTGAGCACCACCTGTTCAAGTGTCACCTGCCTGGTGGTATGGTTTCAACATTTAACTCCTATAAAAAAACGTTTAAAAATTAACTTACATGCATCACAAACCACACAATCTCCAGTAATGATTGGCTTTTCTCTAGATGACATTGCATGAAAATCAGGTGATTGTAATACACAAAACGACATTAATTGCCTTCCTGATCTACTTCCTCCTTGCTAATTATTTCTTTTGTTAGTGTGCTGCCCTAGAAAAAAATCTGAAATTGCTTCCTGTTTGGTGTCTAAAATGTTGACAGTCATCAATGCTTTGAATCATTAATTCCAGGCACACAGAAATGCTCTTAATAGTTATAGAATCACAGAACAGTTTGTGTTAAAAGGAACCTTAAACATCACCTGGTTCAAACCCCCCTGCCATGGACAGGGACACCTTTCACTAGAAGAGGTTGCTCAAAGCTCCATCCAGTCTGGCCTTGAACACTTCTAGAGCAACCAACTTCTCTGGGCAACCAAAATCCAAACTTATTCTCTTTCAGTAGTACCCCTTGTCCTATCACTACATGCCCTTGCACAGGGTCCTTCCCCAGCTCAGTTGTTGGCCTCCTTCAGGTACTGGAAGGTGCTGTAAGCTCTCCCTGGAGCCTTCTCTTCTCCAAGCTGAACAGTCCCAACTCTCTCAGCCTATCTTTGTATGACAGGTGCTCCAGCCCTCTGATCAACTTAGTGGCTCTTCTTTGGACTCACTCTAGCAGGTCCACATCCTTCTTACGTTGGGGGTCCAGAGCTGGATGCAGTATTCCAGGTTGGATCTCATGAGACCGTAGTGGAGGGGGAGAATCACCTCCCTCGACCTGCTGGTCACAGTCCTTTTTTATGCAGCCCAGGACACAGTTGGCTTTCTGGGCAGTTACAAAGTGCACGTTGCTGGCTCTTGTTGAGCTTCTCGTCAACCAACACCCCCAAGTCCCTTTCCTCAATCCATTCATCCACCAGACTGTGGATGTGCTTGGGATTGCCCCTGACCTACATGCAGGATCCTGGCTCAAACTCCAAAGGACTTGCTTTAGGTGGTAGATCTGTATTTAAGCTGGATGCCTCGTAACATCCAATCCAGTGTCCCCTTTGCCAGAACACCTTTGCTACAGTAAAATTCAAAATCTCACTTTAAGAGAGCAGAAGGAAAACACTTTTTCCTCCCTCATAAATATTGTGGCTAAACAGAGGCAGAGTGGAATGTTATTTCAATGCTCATCTGCATTCTTCAGAAAAGCAAGATAAAGGAAGAGACTGGGGCCCTCAGCACCTGTTCTTTTCTGAACACAGTGAAAACTGAGAGCCTTCTGTCTTACAAGTTTGAAGATATGTATTTTGCTATTTAAAAGATATGTAAATGTGGCACTTAGGGACATGGTTTAGGGCTGGATTTGGCAGTGCTGGGTTGGGCTAGATGATCTTTTCCAACCTAAATGATTCTATGATTACTTCCAGGTATATTAGAGGTAGAAAAGAAACACTATAGAAATGTAATTATTAAACTGAGTGTGTCTCTTTAAAAAGATGGGGAGGACAGCTCTGGAGGGATTGTCTGAGACGATGCTACAGATGGATGCATTTTTAACTGGTCAGTTAGTGGTAGACATCCAACGTGCGTCAGCAGTGATGGGCAGCTTCCCTATAAAGCAGTTATAAAGTCTGTGAATACCTGAGTGTTACCTATAATTACACCCAAGACAAAAGGAACAACCTGAGAAATGCATCTGCCTGTCAATGTTATGAAACCGGTTGAAACTCAACAGAGACAATAATTAATGTGGTATTGTTCCAGGTAATTTTACATAGTATTCTCACCACCCAGTGACATGTGATGCTGTAACCTGCAACATGAAGGAGAATAATATATGCAATATATAATGCTATTTAAAAAATGGTGGTCCATTTCGATCACATTTCCATTAAGTGGAATGAAAAAACTTCACCTCGCATGAGGGTATAAAAAAAAAACCAATGTCAAAATCTGTGAGTAGGAAAGAACTGATGGCATTGAACCTTGGTGTGCTTTAGATCTCAGGTGTTCTCCCTTCCAGTTTATGTAAAACAAGTGGAAAATGCTATTTTGTCAGGTAACATTTTTTTTTGTCCACTCTGTTCTGTCTCTAACTCAATGTAACAGTGTCAGTGACAGACCATGGAGAAACCATGTCAGTGGTCACTGACTGCAACTTATTGCCAGGATGCCCCTGTGAATATCAGGAAGCTTTCCTGCTTCTTGAATTTAAGATGCAGATACCATTTGAGAAGTGAACACCTCCTCTTTCCTTAACTTTCCACCTCCTCCCTCCCAGTCACTTGCTGTGCTGACCAAAATCCAGGACAAAGAGAATATGTATCAGTACTGTACTCTTGATGTGATTTTCTGAATTAAATCTGTCATGAAAATGAAAAATTGTTCTGTACTAGTGACAGATGCAGCCTACTCTTAACTTAAATGGTTCACCTGAATTCGATGCTCTGGGTTTACAGCCCCACAGGAGAAGACGGTGTTTTCTAACATCACGCAGCTCTCATTACGTGGTAGTGCCAGGGGCAAACGCACTGGCCTGCTCCATTCAGTGTATGTGAGCACCACTGTGTTTCCACAGAGGCTGCCTGCTTTGGGCTTTTACTCTGTAAGGCAATCAGCAAATTTTGTGAGGATAAGGAGGTTTTTAGCGAGAAAAAGTCCAATTTATAGCGCTACTGAGAAAATATCCTCTTATTTGGGCTTACACTGGAAATCATGTGAATACAAGGAATCTGTCCCAGGGACCTAAGAGCTTACAGTAGCACAGATAAAAATAATTGCACTTAAAATATAGCAGTCATTCAATAAGTGTATAAAGAGCAATGCAATGCAGAGGAGGCATTAAGAATTCATGTGACTACTGTGAAATGTAGAAAATATGTGGTTACATGGTTAATAAATGAAAAATACATAGCAAAACCAAACAGTATTTAAATTCAAAACTTTATCTTAAGGACTGTCAGCAAGTGACCAACACATTAGGAAAGAAATCTTACCAATGGTCAGAGGCTACTTCTCAAAAAAAGGTCCCATGTCATCGGCATGAACACAGGTTCAGTGACAGAGAAACGCTAGTTTATTGTCGCTAACATGATGCTGATTTTATAAAATGTAACTGGATATTAATACTAAATTACTATAATATATTTGAGAGAATACATCTCTTTCTAATATAAATTGCTGTGTTCTGTAGAAGGTAAATGAATACATCTACTCGGTTTGTTGCCATCAAGCTGTGCACTATTAACTTTCCCCAGATCATTTCTTCTGTCTTTTTTTCCCCTCCAGAATTTCTTCAGTCACTATTTCCTTTTGAAAATATTAAAGCCACACTGTACATGTGATGTTTATTTTCTACCTGTTAAACCTCTACTGTCTGAAGTGTTAAACCCCAGTAAAAGAATTAAGTGATAATCTACTCTGAGATACCACAATAAGATACCAGGTTCATACATAGAAAATGATTGCCTAGCATTGTTGTAATCTTGGGAAGATGTCATTATGAGTTCTATACTTAAGACTCAACTCATTCCAACCCTCCTGGAACAACAGGATTAAGTTCTCCAGTGAAGGTTCCCTCTTTCATACTATCTCAGTATTTAAGTTATGATACTTGTGTTTACTGATTTTTAAGGTGACAAGACCCACTTGATCATCTCCTGTGTTTTACTGACTAATAGCCATCACTTGATTTTGAAACCAGTAATTAGTGTCTGACCAAAACAGTGTTTCCTACCTGCCACATCTCAAGCCCAAAAGAGCAATTGGGAATAGATGGATTTGTGATTTATTAAATAATGAACAGAAAGCTACTGGAAAAAAAATTTGCCTTCCTAACCCCCACATATGCTGGGCAGAGTCTTGGGAAGAGAAAAATGTGGCAAAGGGGACAGGATTGAAGGGCACTGGCCTCCCAGACCATCTTTCCTTCTCAAAGTGACTCAGATGTTTTAGATATGTGAAAAGTCTTTTGGTCACAAGGTACAAGTCTTTCAGAGACCCTCTGTGTGTCCCCGCTAGCTTCAGCTGCTGAGAGGCTAGTTTCCTTCCTCCTAATTTCAGCTGCAGCATCCTGCCTCCCTAAATCTGAAAGTCAAACCCTGCCTCTGTCCTCAAAGTATTCAAGTTCCCATCCTGAATTAGGTTTGCTGTAAGCAATGAAGCAGTGAGATGTTTCTCTTTAATTACCCTTTTAAAAATTCATACGAAAGCAGAATTCTTAATTAAAAGCTTGACAACCTGAAATCGTTGAGGAAGTGAGACAAAAAAATCCTTCCAGAAATGTTCCCAGACTAACTCAGACACAAAGCAAGGAGAGCACTAGACAGGGATCTGATTTTTGCCCAGCCTCTGCCACTGATTCACTGCAATCCTTTCTGCAAGTCATTTATTGTGCAGCAATGTGCGTATTGATGGAGAAAAAACAGTATTTATTTCCTCTCACAGAGCTGTCCTGAGTCTAACAACTACTTGTGCAAATCTCTGGATGAAACAAATCGTAAGAGTTCTAAGCTCTTAATATGTATTACTTATTGTGCTTTAAAACAGTCATCACACTAGGTAGGAATTAACATTCCAAAGCCCATAGGGTGGATACCTCTTCCTACATGTATATATAAAAGTCATCAAGTGACCTGCCTCAGAGGAAGGCTGACTGAATACAGGTGAGTCTGAATTCACTCTTAGAACATTTATTTAGAACCAGAAGCTTTTATTTTGTTTTGGTTTAGCATTTTGTTTTGATTTAGCATTTTGTTTTGATTTAGCATTTTGTCAATATTGTGATTGCTATGCTGTTTCTACCTCAGGCCTGTGAGGTTTTTGTGATGGGAGGGGAAAAAATGGCTGGTAACTTAAAGCTTTATAACTGGCAATTTCCTACATGTGGAAAGAGCTACAGCCTGTAGCTTTTGCTGCAGACCCATATGGATGTGCCACTGAATTTATAGATATTGGGTCAAGCTATATTGATCCGGGCTTGTAAGTACTCAGTGTCAGAGGTCAAACTGAGCTCCTGCATGTGCACAGCTCCCTCCATCTGTGAACATTTTGCCTGAACAGGCTCACTCACTTATTGGAGTCTATCCAATGACACTGGTGGACTATTTGTGTTTCTGCATCTGTGCAGTCTGGTTTGCAGTAGAAATGCAGTCTAGAGAAAAGGTCACACATGATTAAAATCAATAATGTATTTTCAAGTGTTAACAGCATTAGTGATGACTGCCTACAAGACTCATGGTGTGTTTTTTATTTGAAATCTTCTTGGGGAAAAAAAGTATCTGTAAGCCATAAATGCTGCTCTGTTTAAATGTGTTCACCTGCAAGGCAAGCACAGTCAATGTTTTTTGAATTTGATAGGTATTATCTGATGACATTTTGGAATTTTACTAATAAGCACAACAGATGCATTTATTAATAAAGTGATTATCTGCTATTATTGCCCAGAGAAGTATTATTTCACCAAATAAATCTTGGAGTTGCCTTGCATGCTCTTAGCAGAGAATTAAGGGTCATATTGCTAGATTTTTGAAGACAAGTTTTCCCAAAAGCCAAAAAAAATCCTTTTTGAACAGGAAGCAGTGGATATGTGCACTTTGTAGCACGTTAGACTTCAAACACCTATAAAATTAAAGCAAAGACAGCGTACATTGTCACTGTAAAGACACGGTACGTGTGTTCAGGAGGGGCCATGTGAGCAAGCAGTGAGAACTGAAAGGGGCTAAAAAGCTCCCTGCTGGCCCAGGCTGCCAACAGGGACCTCCCTGATCCCAAGCTCCTCAAGGGGAGAGTGTCCTGCAGAGAAGGTACCTCTGGTCCTCAACCCCTCTTCAGCAAATGCCATCCGTGTCTGGTGCCTCAGGGTGGGAGCTTTTGGCACCCCAACTTTGCTACAGTGCTGTCGAAGATCAGCAGTGATTTCTTCACGTTTTGCAAACTGCTGTGTTTCCAGGTCTCCTGGGACAGCTGAGGAGAGCCATCGCCATGATCCCCGCACTGCTCTTGCTGGGCCTTTCGGCCCTTGTCGGTAAGATGGGTTTGGGTTGCTGTCAAAAGCACACTGGGAATTGTTTGCAGAAGGACCACAGAGAGGAGGTGTGCAGACAGGCTTGAGGTTCCCTTTCTGCCTTTCCCTGTAAACCCTGTGTGGCTGAAGGTCCTCAGCTGCTGTATGAGGCTGCCCATACATGTCTTTTAAACCAGCACATCTGGAGCATGGGATTGAAACCAAAAGGGAGTCACAGACATAGCTCCTCTTGATTTTTCCAGCTTATCCAATCTCTCTGCCTGCTCAGAAATAGTCTCACAAATGTGGCAAGTTGTTTGATGGAGGCTATTTGTTCCTTAGTCACTGAGGAAATGGGGCAATTTTCACAGCCTGAGGCAAGCATTCTCCTGAATTAATTCCTCACAAGGTTATGGAGGGACATAGGAGACACTCCCAGTCAGGATGCTCAGGTGCCTCCAGCCATCATCTGAGGGGTCCTGGACACTGTGGGGTATTGAATGGGAAGAGCCCTCTGAAATAAATGCAGAGACTGTGGTTCTTCACTCCCACACCAGCCTTTAGACCTGACGGGCAGGCACATATTCATCTAAATTTTCATTAGATCCACTTACTTCAACATATTCAGTTAGAAAAAACCAATTTCTGTTCCCTGCTTTCTTTGATAGCATTTCTGATGGAGAGCAATGGCAACTGTACAAGCAGGGCCAACAAAAGGGGGTGTGGGTTGCAGGTCTGGGTGATTCCCTCATGCTCAACTTGTATGCACTTGCAGCACTGGTACAATACTGCTCCGAGATCTTATGTGTTCAAACACCTCCGTTTAATATTTCAGCTCCATCCATGAGTTACAGTTGCTATGGTGATATAAGTGCTCTTCAAGCCCCCACGATGTCCTGCACAACTGTAAGAGCCCCAGATTGTGGTAGGTATCATTCATTGCTTGATTTGTCAACCTGTTTCTACCTGACAGAGAGATGCTTTACTTACTGTTGTTGCCAAATTAAATGTGGTGCAGCTATTCAATTAACCAAAAGGGAGAAAGTGACACTTCCTCTCCTAAAATGGTGGATGCTGTGAAGCCTCCAGATCTGATGGGAAGTGGAAGGACAAATCCCAGGTCCTACAGTCAGAATATTCAGCCTCAGAGTAAAGGGAAATAGTACCACCCCTTTTCAGTTAGACGGCTTCTTCATCAGCCAGGACTTTGGCATCAGCATCCTCACAAAACCCCAGGGCCTGTGTGCTGGAAGGCGAAGTTGTGCAGAGCCAGGTTTGGGTGCTGGCATGTTGGCTGAGCTGACCAGTGGTGACCTGCCAGAGACACATTTTACAGGGTGAAGGTCCCAAGGATGTAGCCATCCTACCTCTGGATGACTAGTTTTTGGTAACTCCTTCACATTTCTCTTGTTCTTTCCTTGTGTTACCGCCCCGTGCATTGCACAGCTGACTGTGTCAGGTTCACACCGCTGATATCTCCAGGAATTTGGCCACATATCTCAGATGTGGGCTCTTTCAGGGCAGACACCTTGACTGCCAGTGTCCAAGCATGGATCTGAACACACCTGCTTCTTTCCAGACTGTTCCAAAATTGCTTTAAAAAAAACACCTTTAGAAAACCCACCTTTCTATAGATAGAACACAGCTGTTACTGCAGTTTGTCTGATCAGTAGTAATGCATATCTATTTTTTCGAATCCATTTTGAAATTTCACTCTTCTGACTCCAGAGCCACATTTCCAGTGGAACAGCAGAAGAACAGGACCGTGAACGTGCGGTCCCATTTCCTAAGAATCCTTCCTCTTTCCCTTGGGTACTGGCACAGCAGCTTCCCAGCTACGGTCAGAGCCAATATATTGGTCTGTGCTTGTTCCTCAAGCTCCACTGCCCAGTTCGGTGTAGATACAATTTCTTCAGAATTTGAGTTACTTCTTTGATACAGCTGCTCGAGGGGAAGGCAAGGGTTTTGGACAGGGATGTGTGTAAGTCTGCCTTTTCCCACGCTGCAGGATATGCCATGATACGGAGGACTGCTGAGGCAGACCTCGTGCGCCTGAGGAGATATGAGGTCCCAATTAGAAGAGTAGCCCGAAACCTGTGCTTGGACCCAGCTCTCATTGGTGCCATCATGTCCCAGGAGAGCCGTGTGGGCCTGCTCCTGAACAACGGCTGGGACCAGGGACGGCAGAAGTACGGCTTGATGCAGGTACCTCAGCATGATGAGAAACAGCACAGTAATTTAGAGCATATCCCAGCTCCCTACCTTACCAAATGACTGTTCTGTATTCAAAATGGCACTAAAATCAAAGGTTGTGCTTAAGTGTCCGGAATAAGGTCACTTCAATGAGTTGCAGCCTGAGAGTCCAATGAAGAGAAAGAAGCTATAGCAGGGGTTGCATTCTGAGGGAAACCCATTTTCTTGCTTGTCTTTTCTAGATCAGCAGGCAGCTACAGCAGCCTTATGCACTGTGGGATAGTGAAGAACACATAAATCAGTGCTCAAATATCCTGGTTCTTTCAATTAATGAAGTACGTGCAAGACATCCTACCTGGACCTGGGATCGGCAGCTGAGAGGTACACCATGGGCTGTATACTAGAAAGGGATACACTGGGAGTATTGTGCACTTCTCGGTTTCACTTTTAAAGGAAAGAGAGTATCAGTCTGGGAGATTTTACAGCATGTCTTACAATAAAAAACCCCAACCTAACCCAGTTTTCTAAATCTAAAGAGGCAGTTCCAAACTGGCAGATAAGCAATGTGAAATAGCTGAATAACTAAACATAAGCCACTGGGGAAACTGAGGCACCACAAGACAATGAACTTATCATGGCAGGGTGTTGTGTCCGGGAATCTTGGGATCCAGCTTTCCTTATAGTCCATGTTATCTTCATGGTGGTTTGTTCACTCTATGCTACAATTTTCTCTCCCATCCTTGCTCTGATACTGCCTTTTTAGATTACACCCTTTTCTGGGAACAGTATGCTGTTTCCACCTGCATTTGGAGAGAGTCATGGGTTCCTTCATTATAGCAATAAAGATTTTACAAAACCAGACACTTTTCAACAACAATGCACAGTTAGCATTTTACCAAGTAGTTGTGTATGTTTGGTGAGATTCATGGGCCTTTCAGCTAGAAATTTTTACTCTTAAAACTCTATTTCTTATGTACAAGCCCAAAACAACTCCTTCTTAACTCTTTCCAGGGGGAATCTGCACCTACCATTCAAGAATGGGCAATCTCCCGGTCTACGAGGAAGACCCATGCAGCAGAGACAACAACTACGTCAACAGCGTGATTAGGCGAGCTCAGTACTTCAAGAGAAACGGGTTCTAACTCATGAACCCGCCCCACCACCGAGCCTCTCCTCTGCACAGACTAGCCCAGTAGCGATCACAGTACCCAGAGCAGGTCTTCTGGCAGGACCGATGCTGGGAGCATTGCCAACAGCACCTTGCTCGCTCCAGCAAACCCCAGCTCCCCGCTCACCGATGGGCGAGCTCAGCACTGCCTTCCAGGGGACCCACAGGGATGAGATACCACAAGCTTGGGGCCTTTGAGAGGCAGATGGGGACAGACCAGCGGTGTTTAAATTTTGAGTGAGGAATGTGACTCTTCCTGTTTGGAGCTGAACCCAGGGCTGTTCATGCATCCCCCAGATGCGAGCACACAAGCAGCTCTCCCTGGACATCAGCTGTGCTCTTCCCATCATCTCCATCCACCTCCTTCCCTCTCCATGGCCAATACAGCGGATGAGGTTCCTGAGCTAAAGTTTTCCTTCCCCTTGATGCTGCTGGCTAAGGGGCAGTGAAGAGACTTCTCACCAAGCCTTTGGTCTCTGCAGTAGCTGAGTATTCCTGTGGCCAGCCTTGAGGGGGGCAATGCTAAACACTACTTGGTTAGTCTACCAAGTCTTGGAGTCCATGGCCATGGTGGGGATGGGGACCTCCTCAGGGTGAAAAGCAGCCTCACACAGGGGAAATCCTCTATATGGAAAGTACTGCAAGTGCCATAGCAGGCGTGCAAAACACCTTTCCATTAGAGACCAGCCCTCAGTAGGAGTCAGCCCCGTATGTACCCACCCCAGGAGCTGTATCACAGCAACAGTGTTGGTAAAAAAACCCATAACCTTTCCTGATTTAACTTCGGCACCCTTATGCTGGGTTTCCCCCAAATTTAAAAGCATTTCAGCATCCATCCCTCTGCCAGGAATCCCAACTTCTAATAAGAGTGAATTAGCTCTGGGTTTATAAGGTCTGTTTGAAAGTGGTCTTCAATGTGGATGGGTCTCTGGCTGCCAATTTATGTTTAATTAGAATAATACTGAGACTAACAATAAGAGAGAAAATAAAGACAAATGTTAACTTCCAGTGTTGGGTTTTTTCAATTTCATGGGGCTCAATGGGTAACAACCTACAACTTGAGTAAATAACCCAGTTTGGTACTCTTGGAATGGGTCTAGAACTTAATCTGAGAACAGGGAGAGGAAAATGCTGCTAGAGATTGGATAGATGAGAAGAGCTGGGCCTGAGCCCGGACACTGACCCAAACCTGTGAACAAGGGAATAAGGACATTCACATTTAGCCTTTTGAATTACCATTTTGAAGGTGTCAGAGCACCTTTCTGCCATCTGTCACCTTTGCTGATGTAGAAGTGATGTCCTTGCAGTCCCTGCCCGGCAGCACAGGGATATGCTGTGTGTGTGCAGGGGCTGCCAGGCAGAGTCAAGACAGAAAATGTGAGAGCTGGTTTGGAGACAGCTTTTAATGCTGTGCCCCTTGTCTTGCCGGTCACTAATCTGCTTTCTGTCACAGCAAGGATTCTCCATCACTAACATATTCACAAGCAAATTCATTTTATCACCTCTGGAGACCAAAGGAACTCTAGGGTATCTCAAATATTACTGATTTTTTTTTTTAAGACTACAGTAAACAGTTCAGTATTGAGCAACCACAGGTATTGAACTATATATTATTCAGTCTTTAGTGAATTCAGCACTATATTTATATAATTTTACTAAAATTGTTACTTTGTAATATGAATGTATGAAGCCTATCACATGGTTTGATCCCCTCTACTTGACTTACCTAGCTTAGGTAAAATTCATAGGATAAAGCCTTTGGTGCATTATGTTACGTAAACCTCTATGTTATTTATGTTATATAAATATAGATATGTTTATATACATGTTACATAAAACTCTTACATAAAGCCTATGAATGCATTTTTGGTAGATCAGTATAAACTTCAAATGGGTCAGGGAACCTCATTGCTGCCTGTGTGTGAAAAGTTGGGGTTTGAGTTTGGAGGGTGAACCAGAGTGGAGCTTCCTTTGGTTGCCTTCATGTTTGGTTCCCTTCAATCACTGCCAGCAAGCACCTTGTCACCACTACTGGTGCTGCCATCCCTGCAGACCTGTGAGCTCCTCAGGAGTCCAATTTACACGAGTGTTACACATAAAGCTGCTGCTTCAAGTTATTGTAGCAACACCCAAGGGCCTGCAGACTTGCCTGCTGACTTGTGCAGCATCACCACAAAGGATTATTTATTTTTAAAGTCTATTTAAAATTCCCAGTTATGGGAATATCATATTTTGTTTCAAATATTGTTTTAGGGTATCAGCACCTTGCAGCGAATACAGAAAACCTCTGCAGAAAATGAGTTGAAACTTGATAAATTGGTAGGAAGGAGTAAATAATTAGGAAAGTTCAACACTGACATATTGCCTTCAGATTTGAGCAAAAGCTTTCCTGATAAACAACGAGTTCAGATTGCTGTTCTCTGTCATCTTTCTCTAGTCACCTGTGTCCTTACTCTTCTGCCTGGTGTAGACAGGGCAGCTGCAGTTGTGCTCTTGGTCAACCTTTTGACCCACAGCCCACAAAAAAAAACCCTGACATCTTGCAAAGCAAATGATCTAATACCAAGTAATGTATCAGACAAAAGCAGAAGCTCAGGTAAGGAAAGAGAAAAGACGAATTAGAGGGGAAAGAAAGGTCCAGGGAATCACTTTCCAGGACATCTGCATGCAACGCTGAAGAAGATGTTAAAGGATTGAATGGTTGCTTCAGAGATCCTGGGGGACAACAAAGCAGCAAGACTTTGGAGGTTTCTGGCAGCCTGACTTGGTAGGGAAAAATCACCTCAGACCAACCAAAGTCTTTATCTAACTGGGGAAGTGGCCAAAAGAGAAACCACGGCTGTGCTGCATCATGAGCTCAATAAGGCTTTCAGCAGAAATCTGAAGTGCCCTCATATGTGAAGGGCCTTCAGTACAAAAAGCACTGGTTATCAGCAGCTTCTGGCCAAACTGGTGAGGCATTTCAAGTGGAGCCACACAAGTCTGTTCTAAGCCAGTTTGTCTCAAATTTTTGGTGGTAAAATTAATGGAGGACGTGAGCTATCAAACCATGGGCTGCACTGAGTGGGAATGCGAGCTCTTCCACTGATGGTTAGAAACTACGAAAAACAGTTAGGAACCAAAGTACAGAAATCAATCAAACAGAGGTGCAACACACTTGAGGAGGTGTAGCGGGCAGGCAACAATCCCAAGGAAAGGGTTGGAGGTTCTAGTGGGAAACAAAGAAGTTGATGCCAGTGGAGGAGGAGAAAAGAAATAAAAAAGAGGGAAAATCCCATTTGGGGGGGCTATCTCTATCATAGCACTGTGTATGAAGCACCGAGGCTAACTCTTCTCTCAGATGTTCAGCTGTCAGCATCATTGGGGCTTGGCAAATGTTTGAGTTTGTTGCACCAAGAAAAATGCCCTCAGGACAATCACAACTCAGATGGAAAGTAGAGCCTGTAAGAAATACAGAATTAGATTTTTTTTTTCCCTGAAAAAAAAAAAAAAGCATACAGTTACGATTTTCTAATATGCAAAACAAATGAAGGGTAATGATCCACATACTCCCTTTACTCTTGAGGGTCAGTAGCAGTGAGTCTGGCAGCAGATTTGTGTTGGATACTTTAAAAAACTTTCAAGATAATGAAGCAATGCAACATTACCTGGGCGTTTTAAAGAACAACCAAGACCAACATTGTCCCAGTTTAAATGAGACACAGGTGTTTTGCTGAGGATGAGTTATGAGAAAAAGACCCAAACTTCTCCCTCTAAGCAATTATAAATTCGAAATTAGAAGGCTCCAACTGAGGGGAAAAACTTATGGAAAAGGGAAAAATAACAACCCTTTATTAAAAGGTATGTGTGTATTGGCAGAAACAATGAAAGAAAACAAGTAAAACAACAAAACAATGCTCCTATACCCACAGATAATCCCCTTCAAAACAAACCAATAAACAAGCAAAGAAAAAAAGGTAAACAGTTCAGTTGGCACCCTTTGGTGCAATTCTAACCACAGTCAACAGGGGGCACCATTGGATCACTGGAGATGCAGAGCTCGTAGCGTCCTGTGCCAGTCACCAGGTGGCGCTGTTGGATCACTGGAGATGCAGAGCCTGCAGTTCTTTATGCTGACCAGCACTGGGCACTGTGGAATCACTGGTTGTTGCCACGTGAGTGTAACACCCTCTGGGGTGTGTTGGAGAAACCAAAAAAAAAAAAAAGGGTTTCCCTCCTCTCCCTCACACACTGGGAAAGGGGAGAGAGAGAGGGGAGAGAGAAACAACAAAAAAAAGTCCTCCCCAATGGAAAAAAACCCCAAAACTCACTCTGTTCAGCGGGTCCAATCGTGTGGCACAGTCCTCCCTCTCTCCTTGACATCCACAAGGACCATCGCCAGGAAAGAAACAAATGGGAACAGAGAAGGGGAAAAAAAACCTCCAGAAAACAGCTCCTCTCTGATGAAAAATCCAAGCAGGATCCACAGCAGGCAAGCAGGCCGAGAACAGAAAGAACCACTGAGCTTCCACTCTGACCCCACTCCAGCTTCCGCAGCCAGCCCCCCCCAAAAACAAAAAAAAAAAACCCAAAAGAACCTCCCCCTCCCGTTTCCCAGGAGAGGAGAGAAAAAAAGTAATGAAGAGCTCCTCACACCCCCCATCCCCCATTTCCCAGGAGAGGAGATTCTGAGCAATTAACCAGAAGACAGCTTCTTTAGTACGCCTTAAGTACCCACTTAACAGCTCTGCACACAGGGGGCAGGGGGAAAGGAAAAATTCCTACTTAGTTTTTAAGAACCAGCAAAACCATGACAAACATGTAAAAGTAGTTGTACATCATAAAGAATCACAGAATGGTTTGAACTGAAAGGGACTTTCAAAACCATCTTGTTCCAACTCTTCTGCCATGAGCAGGGACACCTTCCACTAGACCAGGTTGCTCAGAGCTCCATCCAACCTGGCCTTGAGCAGTTCCACAGGTGGGGCATCCACAACAACTCTGGGCAACCTGTTCCCAGTGCCTCACCACCCTCACAGTAAAGAATTTCTTCCTGATATCTAATTTAAACCTATTCTCTTTATCACCATACTGCTGTAGAGAGAGGAAGTGCAGTAGGTAGTGTTTAAGGACCTTTCCAGGCTAACATTGCTGCATCAGAATCAGCAGTCGGTAAACCAAAAAAAATTACAGACAGGGAAGAAAAACCTTCTCTGTTAGAGTCCTGTGTTTTGTTTTCACAACTGATGTCAGTACTGGGAAAGATGTTTAAATGTGTTTCCAACAATAAAGAGCAAACGTGAGGTTGCAAGCTTCCTCTCTCATCGACTTGTCAAGCTGCAGGTGGTATGGGCTGATCCCTCCATGGCTCAGGCAGGGATCTGTCTGGAGTCTGGGGCTGCAATGACTGGCTTTCATAGACACCAAGCAGAGGGACCAATTAAACAACCTGTTTCAGCAGCAACTGAAACAGCAGGAAACCACTATCAAAAACAAGTCCCCGTGGTCCAGAGCCCTAAGCCACGTGGTGGAACAGATTGCTCTGATGGCTGACTGTGAACGCTGGAGTTGGATCAGTTTAAACCACGTGTCCATGTCCCTCTCCCTGTGACATGCAGAAAACAAAGGGAATTGTCAGCACAGCAATGCAGTGCTGAATAACTGCATTTGTTCTGCTTCATTACTCACTGAAAAAGTGAGCTGGGATTTCCTGGCCAGTGACCTGTTCACAGGACAGGGCTTCTCTAGTGGTTGCCTTGGGCACACTGAGCTCAACCCCCCAAAATATTAGTCTCATCTTATGGGACTTTCTTCCCAATAAAAAAAACCTCATGTTTTATTCAGGCCAGAAAAGGCAACACCAGCCCCCCTTTAAACCAGAAGTGTCAGATGACTATAGGACATGCCACGTGGGTAATACTGGTGATTGGTTACCCCAAAGTCTGTCTCCAGCAGCAGCAGGAAAACTTGGCTGCTTTCTACAGTTCATTTTCCTCCTGTGCCCTCAGCATTCCCAGCTGTTTAACACAAGGGGTGGGAAACATCCACCCTTTGTATGGCACTGCTGTGCATGAATCCATCCAGCCGCTTTGGGAATGTGCTGGTGCCACTGGCCTCCACAGCCTCCTGGGTGGCAAAGACACATCTAGGTCCCTCAATAATGCCACTTTGAATCTTCCTAAATTCCTTTCTGAAGACCCAGTTATACTTCACCCACTGGCCTTTATCCATGCAGTTGCTGACATCATCCCAGAACACCATCAGGAATCAAGGCAGGTTTGCTCCTTATGGGAGCTGGGCTGACCGTCTCTCAGCTGACCAGGTTTATTCACTACCACATTCATCTTTAATACACTCTCCTATATTGCTCAGGACGGGCACCAGCCTGTGATCCCAAGGACCCCTGTGGAGCCAGTGCTGCAGTTGGGAGTGACAGTTTCTAATGTTTGCCTCAGTTTATTTAATTGCCTTCCTTGAAACTGAGTACACCCATATTGGATGCACATGACCTGCTTTTCCCCATTTCAATATTAAGAGTGCTCACTTCGTAGGATCGCAACCTCAGAGCCGCTTCCCACTAACACCCCTCAAACAAAGCCATGCCACTCCCTAGTGTTTGTTTCTGCGGGTTTCTGAACCAGCTTTTCCTGGAAGCAGGGATCTATTGCAACCAAAAATTCCACTTCTGCATCTCATCCTGGCACTGATCCATCCATTCGTATCGCCATCCTGTATTTGCTGCTTCTCTGTCCTCACTGACCACACTTATTGAACTCAAAAAAGATTGACAGTATAGTCCTACTACAGTGTTTTTATTGATAGTGACTGGCATTTCCACCCACAGGTTTTAGGGATGTTTCTCTTTTCCTGTAATATTTTTATGCTGTGACACTTTTATCCTTCACATACAGCATCTCATGCACCTCTGCATCCTACTCAGCAATTCCAGAGGCTGGCAATGCAGTGTCCTGTTGGTTTTCTAGCCCCCAAGCCTATGAAATGTCTGCTATCTCAGGGTTGTTACTTGGCACCAGGAATTTGGGTTCTCCTGGCTTGATTTTGAAGTCTTCAGCAACGGCGTAGGAGGAATTTTAAGTTTGCCCTCACTTCATTGCTTAACGTTGCATGTACCAAACCCTTGCCACTGTATTCCTGCCTATTTTGTCTGTCTCATTTATTGGGATTGTGCTCTTTATTTCCCTCCTGGTTTTTTCAGAGGTAAACTGAATGTCAGCCATGTCCACCTTGTACATCACATCAGTTCAAACTGGGTAGTCCTCTGCATTTGCCAATTTTCCCCTGCTTCTTGTGGAAATGCTCCCTTAGAAGCTCTTCAATTTCTAGTGACACAGGTTGCCTGTGTTAGAGCTCAGGTACAGCCTACCTTTCTAGGCTGTTTCTCTCATCCATGAAGTTTCGCCAGTTTCTCACATGTCTCAATCATCTACAAGCCCCTGCATCTCCCTCTGAGGCCATCATGCAGCTTTGGGACAAGGGACCTGGTCCCAGTACCCAGAGTATCCTGCCTTCCTGATATGGGCTGGCTAACCTCACGGAGCTTAAATGGGCTTAATTGCTTTGGGAAGCTGATGTCAGCCTAGTTTCTCCCCTGAAAGTATAACTAGGATCACTCATTTCTTACCCACACCTTATTAAGCTAATTAGCAATAAAGAGAAATGTTCAAAAACATGAAAAAACCCACACAGTGAGGACATGGCTGACCTGACTCTACTGCTGCAACCCTCAGCCTTACACAAACACTCCAAGAACTGGAAAAGTATCTTGTTGCAAGGCAGGAAAGGAGAAATTTAACTCATTTCTGTCATTTAAATCAGGTTTTATTTTATGAATTCCCTACTTATTCATGCACCCCTCAGTTGATTCAGATCAAGCAACTGACAAAGTTCAGGAGAGGTTTGGTTACAGAAATCAGGAGTTCCTGTCATAACAATAAAAATCCTGGAAACATATTTTTGTACCTTTTCCTTGGAAATGGGGACAATCTCTAACAAGACATGTCTGCACACCTGAGCCACATGGGCCATATAGAGGACCAGATTATCCCACAGATGTCCACCCTGAAGCATTTAATTGCCAGAGGCAGTCCTTCCCTCCTACCAGATGCAGGAGAGAAGAGTAAAGAGGAGCTGGTACCAGATCTGATCCAGTGCCCTGCAACCTGGCTTCTGGGTAAACCAGAATTGTCTTCCCCATGCAACTCCTGTGACCAGTGAATACTTCCTTACTGACAGTGCATGGACACTGACACTGAATGGATCAGCATGGCTGTTGCTGTATGTACTATAGGTACATACAGCACTTACCACATATACAAAAAATGTCAGTAGCAGGACTGTCAGGTTGCTCTATATGGAGGCTGAAGAGCTAGCTGAGCATAAAGGAAGTCTCGGGGTATTCAGGCAAAACTGCCCAGCTGTGGCAAAGGAGGTTGGTATGCAGAATATGGGCAGGGAATAAAGGCACTCACGGTGGGAGCACAGCACTAAACATTACTAATTTTAACATTACAGAACATTACTGATTTTATTTTTCCTGAATTAAACATCGGAGTTTAAGGAAGTTTGGAGGAAGTCACCAAGATGCTGTAAAAGATGGATCTGAAACAGCAGCAGAAGTGTGAGTGTCTCATGAAGTCACAAGTCTTTCATGGACAGCTGAAGGCTGGTTTGTGCTGGAGAGCTGCCATTGGGGCCTCTTACGCAAAGAGATGAGACTTCTTTTGTCACTTTGCCTACTCAACCAAGAGAAATACCCCATCAGCTTGGAAAGAATTTGTGTTTATTCGGCAAGCAGTGAGATATATTCATGTCTTCATGCGTGCCAATGATGGGTAATTGATTTTCAAGCTGTTTTGCATGGTCAGGAAGAACCACCCCATGTACTCAATGTTTGTTCTGCCAGACCATGCTGCCCCCCTTAGGTAAACCTGGCATCTCTTGCTGCCTTGTCCCAAGCAGCTGGGAAGTAGAAGACATTGATGTACCTTCTCACCCCCTCCCCAAAATCTTGGATGATGCTAGAGCTGTCAGAAGAGAGAGTGCTCAGGTCCCACTGTGAGCATTGTAGAATGAGAGTTGGGCTGAGGGCACAGAGTTCCGGGCAGGACCTCACCTCCTCTCCATCACAGGGAATGGCAGAACCCCTTGCAGATCCTGTGCCCCATGGCCTGTCCTCTCAGGGGAGCAGCCTTCCCCAGTAGTCCAAATACAGATTTATTGAGGAAAACACTTCCCAGGACATGTGAGACTTCCTGTATGCATATCTGATTAGGCAAAAATTTCTGGAAACATGGGAGATCTACCAACCTGCCTCAATTACTATGATGTAGAAGAAGCAAACCAGTACATCGTCTGTGTTTCTCTCCCAGCAATAAGGGAACGGTAGCACAGACCATTTGGAGATTACTGTTTGGTGAATCATCTTCAGTGGTATTTTGAATTTTCAGATTTTTTAATGTCACTTCATTTGAGCCATATATCTTCTATTTTCCTTTCTGCCAGGTGTATTTGCCTCTGTTTCAACCTTCTTTACACTCACCCATAATCATGAACACAAAGAGCCCCATACATGGGTTGCTGTGACTTTTTGCAGTTGGTTCTCTATGGGAGGTACCAACAGTACAGGAAAAACTTACAGAACTGAATCTCTCAGTGCAATGACACAGGACGAATCCCCCAGCTTAAAATGTGAAAGGGATGCTGAAAGAGCGAAACCGCATTTCACACAAATCTACCGTGAGGGAGAAGCGGATCAGGAAGGATTCTGCTGTGGGGAGTTCTGCCACCCAGCGGCTTTTTTCCTTACTGCTGCACAGCTACAGTAGCTTTGAAATCCACACTGCTGCTAATTTAGGGTTGTTGACCTTTGTTGTCTCTGTACAAGAGGGGATAACAACAGGGACCTGGCATAGTCTCTGCATATCCGAATTCTCAGCAGTTGCAGCTCTGGTCATGTTTTTGTTCCTGGATCTTTGCCTGTGAAAACTTGATTCTGTCCAAAAGTGCAGGTTCTCATTTTCCCATTGTCAGCACATTATTGCTTCCAAGAACTGAAGGGGAGCAGTTGTTTCCAGACAGTGCTCCTCCTAGTTCCAAACTGTTAGCAGCAGGGCCTTAAATTAAATTAAAAGGTATTTCATTTTTTAAATCAAAACTGTGTTTGTGCTGTAAAAGCAGAAACCCTGTTGTGTTTGGGAGGATACACAACAAGCTGTTAGGCATTTCTGTTTCTTGTATGACCAGTGAGTGTGGTAAGAGTGCACTGAGCCAGCTGCTCCAGAACTCCACCAGCAGATAAAAAGCCCATTTGTCTGCAGGAAGTGTGGTGAGAAGGTGGGGAGACATCTTGCAGCAAACATGTCAGGTCTGTGATGTTTGTCTAATATTCTTGTAGATAATTCACTGTACCAAACTCTGTTTTCTATTAACTGCTGGGATCAGCTTAGCACTGTTCCTCTCATTTGCTGTTTGCACGTTTTCCCTCCTCCAATGGCATGTTTTGACAACAGATAAATGCAGATAAATTGCAAGACAAACAATCTGCAAGTCAGATAAATTGTAATGGATGTAATTGAAGGATGTTTCTCTTCGATTTTCTTGTTCACCATAGCTATGGAAAAGCAAGCTGGAGCCAGTCAGTAGTGTAGGATTTCTCTTGACTCTCATTGATTTTTTTTTTTTTTAATTTTATTTTGGAGTAGAAAAACTGCCTTTTTGAGGTGCCTTTCTCCACTGGCCATGTGGGCAGCCCAAGTCACAAGCTTAGACCAGACATCTAAGTTTTAGGCAAGCCAAAATTAGGGGAGATGAACTGTGCACAAAGCACCAGTTCACCTCACAACTCCACAGCGGCTTTAGGCTAGCCTGACCGAGAGGTAATCGCCTCCAGAGCCGACAAGATGCACCATGACCGCACCTGCCAGCACAAACGCCTGCACGGGTATCTGAGTGATGCCATGGCTTTCAGTCATGGATCTGAAAGCATTTTAGCAGCATGAGTCACGCACTGCGCTGGCCTGACATCTGGTTGTAAACACCGCTCTTAGCCTGCTCGGAGCGTTATGGGAATTTTCTGAATGTTGACACAACTGGAGCTTTGGAGCCAACCGTGAAAACAGAAGGTCTGAGCTGTGTAGGCAGGCACTAATTCAGCTGTTCATCTCCCCTTACACTCACACAAAAGCTCATGCCTGTTACGGATCCCGGTCTCTGTCAGTCATTGCCATGCAAGCAGATTTTCCCACATCCAACACAAATTCCACTTGAGCACGTAAGTTTACGTTGGGAATAGAGTTGCCTTTGAGACGATATTTAAGACCATCACAGAGAAAATGAAGGTCTGCTGGGTGCATCCAACCCCTGCCATCAAACCTGCTTTTCCACCTCCCTTAAGAGGATTTCCCTCACGAGCCGAGCTTCTGAACATTTCTCCATTATAGTCCTAAATTAAAAGGCACTAGATCTGGGACTATGCCATCCAAAGGTTTAGATTTAAAAGAACCACCTTCTAGTCTGCATGCTAGAGAACTGCCCTCTGTATTTGAATAAAATGTCATTTATATTATCTGTGTATTGATTTCTAGGGCACTTACCCTTCAGCAAAATTAGTCCATTGTATCATTGTTTCTCTCTAAATAGAGCCAGAAGGATTCAAAATGTCAGCTCAGTCATAATGACTTATAAAAACTGGGTTTGGATTTTAGAAATGAAAGGAAAAGTCATGCATGTAATGTTGCAGGATTTCATGCCTCAAGAGAAGACTGCAGAAAAAAGTTTGAGGAATATGGAGAAATACCATGTCAACATTGCAGAAGTTGGCAATGGTAAGTGTGTTGCTCCAGCCGTGATTGATTGCTGGTATCATTTTTCAAGAGTCACATGCTGGGGCAGTGCTGAAGGATGGCTGGGGTGACCATGGAAATGCATTTGGTTTAGTGCAGTTACAGTCAACCTTCTTGAAAACACAAATCTCATCCTTCATCTGAAGCAGAGTTAGAAGAGCAGCAGGGGCCCTGTTGAAAGGCAACTCTCTAAGTCTTTTCAGACGGCTCTGAAGCCATTGCTGACTGGATTGTCAACTGCCAGAACCTAGGAAGGACCCCAGTGAGTGTCAGGCCATGAGCAGACTGCTTTTACACTGTGAAACTACTGTTTGCCTTCCAGCACTCCCTTGGGAAAGAACAGATTAACTGCTCCTATTTCACATTTAGATAATAAGTCCTGTTTCAAAAAGCACTTTTTTTACCTGAGCACAGAGGCCTGCAGGCTGCAGCTGCTACATCATCAGGTTAGTTACACTTTACGCCCCACAGGGGCCTGGCTAGTGGGGGATCTTACTTCATTATTCATGCCTACGTTTGTGCCTCACTTGTTTGCCAAGTTGTATCCTTATCCGTAAAATCCCTAAACATTTGCCACACACATTGGGATCTGCTTTTGTAACAGCTCCAGCCCCCTCAGACTTACGCTTTACTATCCCATACAAGAGGATAAGAGGAGGAGAAGCAGGAGAAAAAGGAGGACTGGGGCAGAGATCCAGGGGAGATTCTTAGAGAAAACAGATTTTCCCACTCTTGATGCAGCTGGGGAGGAAAGGAGCAGCCACCTTGCACCTGGAAACACTGAAGCAGCAGTCATGCTGCTTTCTAGACACTGTCACCTTTACAACTGCAGCCGTGTTGGTTTTTTAAGGCTCTGAAAGACAAGCGAGGCAGGAATTCCTCTTCAGTGCCCCAATAGTCTGCCCTTCGCACATCTGCTGACTTCACCTGCACCTTGAGCTGCGCTTGCTTCCTCTCTATACAGTCACAAAAGAGGTAAATCATGAATGAACACAAGCAACCTGTAAGCAGTAAAGATCTCTGGATAAAGAGTGGGATAAGTAAATAGTGGGGTTGGGGTTTCTAGAATGCTGATACTGTGGCCTGACTTTCAGGCTGACGAACAGTACTGTAAGACTGGCAAGTCATGGGACACAAGAGTACTTAGCATAAGACACAGAGATTTTATGCAGGACTATAAATTCAGAAAAAATTTCCAGCTTGGACAAAGGAACCTCAAAGGTAGAGTTTTGTCAGCTTTGAAACACTTCACACATGTAAAGCCAAGCGCAATAATGCTGTAAAACCAAGCACTGAAGAAAACTAAACACATCCCAGTCCCTCTGGTCATGTTACCACCCATCTACAAAAAGTAACCTCTCCTGATTGCCTATCCTGGCAACTCTGAAAGAGGAACACACTAATTTTGAAAATGTATGGTCCCCTCTGGAGGAAAATATAGTTATATTCCTATCACTGATTACTCTGAAGCAGTCCTTACAGTTGGGTCCCTTCACTCCAACTACAGTAAAAACACATTATTAATGTGGGTGGGCATGAAGGAATATGCACACAAGGAAACAGTCATAAAACTAAAGATGTTAACATTAGCAAAATACAGCAAGGGGCAATGATCACCAAGTCTGGAAGTAAATGAGGAAATTACGATTTCTTCACAAAGTTAAAACACAAAAGGAATACCTCTATGACAAAAAGAGCTGGAAATGTTAATCCTATGGCCAACAAACCTGGTGAAAAGGGAGGATAAACTAAATCAGTGCATTTCAGTTGTGATTTTTGTTTGTTTGCTTATTTACTAATGAAGTAGCACCTCTGCTTATGTGTTTCTTTCACTCTCATTTCAGGTGGAATAATGCAGAAGCTAACAATGTCCAGAACTACAACAAAATGGATACTGGCACAACACACAACTACGCCAATAATGTGGATGCAAGAGCCAATTTCTGTAAGAGAATTGGATATTGAGATCTCTTAATAATGATTAGAGTCACTGATTCATACTTTGCTTCTAATTAAAAACAACCTGGATTTCTCCCTCAGAAACAGTAAGAATGGAGGGGAGCAATAAAGCCAGAAACAAGTACAAGATTCCAATGATTTTTTTTTTCAGCTAAGGCCAAAACTTAAAAGATAACACTGCTAATAATCCAAACTGCAACATCTGTCTCGACATTTTTTATCTTACTTCAGGAGAATATTCAGAATTTTCATCTGTGCCTGCAGTTTCTCAAGCAGCAAATTAATGCTGCACGAAAGTTATAACACCGCTTAACAAGATTTTATCTGCCTTGCATTTTATCTGCCAATACCTCTGTCTAACAGCAGTACAAAACAGCAGTGCAGGCTGTTCAGAGAGGCTGAGCTGTCCCTGTCCTGAGGGCTTCAAGACTCAGAGGTTTTCAAGGCTCAGCTGGACAAACTACTGAGTAACCCTGTCTGACCTCAGCACTGGCCCTGCATTGAGCAGGAGGTTGGACTAGAGACCTACGAGATACCTGCCAACCCAAATTTTGTGATCATCTTATGTTAGTCTGTTTGTTCCCTGCACAACATGGCAGTGTCTCTTATCTGTGCTTCATAAAGATCTACACAGAGCATTGACAAAGCTTCATTAATTAAAGGATGTGGACATACACTGTGTTTGTGCACTCTGTTCGTTCAGGTTTTAGACTTAAGAAAATCTTTAGAGAATGTGTGTTTATACAGAGAAGGTTTGGGATAGCAGACTGACCGTATGACATTCATGACCTTGGAAGAAATACCACTTCAGAAACATCCAAACCCAACATTTTAAGGAAGTACAATTTCATTTTTCATTAAAACTGTTAGGTTGTCAACTAAAGACCTCTGTAAGCATCTCTTGTACCTAAATCTTTCCCAGAAATAACAGGTACTATGTATGTTCCCTCCTCGGTACTTGGGAAGCAGTTAGTACCTCTGCTTTAACTTAGGTGGTTTATCACACACTTTTGAAGCCCTGCACGGTACCAAGCAAGCCTGTTCATTAACACATTCCCTCCAGCACACCCTGCAGTACGTTCGTGGGCTGTGGCATCTGTACCGTGCAATGAACAAAAGATTCACATCCATATCCGTATCCATATCCATATCCGTATCCATACACGCACCACGTGGGATGGAAATGGCAGCGCGCCCTCTGCCGGAGGCTCACGAGCCTGCAGTGCCATGGACCCCAACCCGAACGTGCTTGGTAAGGCTGAGCCATCCTGGCTTTGGTGCTCTGGAACTCCAGTCCTGGTACAAGCCTTATTATTTGCTGTTCACCAGCAACAAGATTCATTTGATCCAAAGATCATTTTCTGGGCCCTAGTACTTGTGCCATCTCTTTCAAGCATGCCCTGCCCCTTGGGTGTGCTACAAGCTCCTTCAAAAGGGTTCAAATTCCAGCTTGTACTAAGCACCTCCCCATGGGAACGATGATCAACACCTTGCAGAGACTGCAGTTCTAACATACTGCAGCACAAGATGCTGTGCAGATGCTGGAAGGAAGGAGGGAGGAAGAGAGGGAAAGAGGGAGGGAAGAAAAGCATCATTCATCTGCTTCACTTCTTCCATGCTATTCTATTTCAGCTCAAATTTTCATTTCTGCCTTTAGCCTGCCTGTAGAGGTCATTACACTCTTCAGTGCAACTACAGCCTACCCTTTTCCTTCCGTGCACAGTGCCTCCAGCTTTTATCTCCCTGTACTGATATGTCTGTCTACTCCTTTGAACTCCTACTGGTGTTTACTCTTCTCTGCAAGCAGGCAGACAGGACAAACATTCATTTTCAGCGACTGTATCCCTCTGATCTTCTCACAACATACAGTCATTAAGGTTAACTCCTTTTCAGTGTGTCTATTGTGGAGAGGCTCACAGTGTGTTAAACCACGGAATTTAGGCTCGCTGGAATGAAAACTACTTTATCATTTGATAACAGCAGCAGCTTGCTAACTTTGGCCACAATTCTCAAAACTGTAAATAAAGCTACACACAGTCTTTTACAAGCTTGCAGCCCATAACTCCTAACTCGTGTCAAAGAGGCACGCTTCAGGGGCTCCAGACTTCTAAAGTTTGCAATTTTAGAACAGGAAAAGCATGCACTTTCACATAAACTGCAGCTCTTAGGCTATTATTGTACATTTAGGATCAGGGAATACATATGAAGTGAGATAGCATGTTTCCTGGAAGACAAATTAAACAACCTACCTGTTACTCCCAAATGGAGAGTTCTTGTACTTCTAAGTTACAGGGAAGCCAGATGAGAGATTCTTTGGTGAGGAACAAACCTGACATCTGGATAACCAAGGTAAGTCATCCAAATGCCTGACACTCTCTGTGGATAGCCAATCGATTCTCCTGTGACTGCTAACCAGAGGGCTTTTCAGTTCCAGTTTCCTCCTTTGTGCAGTGAAAGTGAAGTCCTGCATCATCACGGTAAACCTTTACTGTTAGCTGGGAAACATCCTCACCATCATTTAGCTACCTCTATTCTACTCACTCCTCTGCTTATCTGACTTTATAAATAAATTTCTCTTACAGCTAGCCATAAACTGCAGCAATCTATTCACAAAATTAAAACACAAAGACAGACAACCTATAAGTCATTTAATATTTCAGGCAACTATTAACAACATTGAATTTCCTATCTGTACAATTCTTTAAGCATCAGTGTCACCTCTGCCATTCATACCAGACAGGGTTAAGTATTGTCTTACATTTCATACACAAACTCTTAACTCAGGATTTAAAGTATTCATTTTATAAAATCTAAATCCAACCAGCACACCTTATGACTTAATTTCTTTCTGCTCCACAGGTTTCAGACGCTGTTTAATGATGAGCTCTCCCTTGCTTGTAAGATAGGTGCCGGGTATTTCCTCTTCTGTTGGCATCCCGTAGGGTAGTTTCAGCGGCTTTATTCTACAGGCAAAAGAGTTTGTTTAGTGAAGTCCTGTGACTAGAAGAGAGTTACATTAAATATTCCAAATAAACAAATAAACAAACAAATAATTAACAAACCTTATCAGATGTTTAATAACTTTCAGTTTGGAATTCACAGAAGGGATATTTTTGTGCAGTCTTGGCTGATGAGCCTACATAAAATATAAAACAGGTTTTACAAATGCATTCCCAAATCCCAAATCTCTGTTCACTGAACTTTTCACACTATCAGTAAAATATAAACCACAATTGCAGATGTAAGATTTAGAGAACCATCATGCATCATGAACATAAAAATATGAAATCAAAACTGGATGAAACTTGATTTCACTAAAATGACAATTTCAGCTTTATTCCCATTCCATTATCAATATATTTTTCTTCCAGCTGTTAAAAATACTATAAATGCAAATACAGGAATTTAGGAGCAAAACTGCTTGTTTCAGTTCCATCTTAAATGGGTCAAGCACACATTTTATTCTCTGTAATATAACACTGACTGGATGAATCTTTGCACAATGTGCAGCTAGCCCAAAAAGCTTGGATAAACGCATCTTTGACACAAACTCTTACAGTCTTGGCTTTCAAATCCTTTTCATTGATAAACGAGTCTTATTTGCCTTCCTGCGATATCTAAATAATATGACCCACAGAGAAAACTGAATTAAAAGTATCTACAAATCTATTTCTATTGTTTTAGCAGAATTCTTGGGATGAAGTCCTCCTCAAGCATGCAGCACAATACCATATAGGGATATTTTGAATACCTACTAAAAGTGCATTTGCCATGAACATTCCCCTCAGCTGCTATAAATGTAATTATGTTTTGTGACTGCAAAATTGAGGTCCTTAAAAACTCAACCACCTTAACGCTCCATTTCTGATGTATACAACAAGTGTAAAGAACAATAATCATACTTTATCCAGCCCAAGGTCATGTATTATCTTCTTTTCCCAATATGGGCGACCTTTGACGCATCTTATTCTAGTAATAACGTGGATTTTGTGGGGCTGCTCAGGGTCACCTCCATACTTCTCATGATCTCCAGGCCGCGGCTGAAATACCTAGAATGAAAAGTCCACAAAACCAGAGGGTTTTTTCCTAAATATCTGATAATTATTATTATAGTCAGCTACTCTCTAAAACATACTTCAACCTTGTTAAAAATTCTTACATGTTTTTCTTTTCAGGCAGTCCAAGTACCAACAAAATGAACTAAAATTTAGCTTTCATAACATGAAGTCAAATATATTTTTAAAATGGTTTGCTGATAGCGACCCACAGAAACACACGGACAACACCGGACCAGCAGAACACCTAATTCACGTGCATCTCCTCAGGGAGCCTGTGCTCAGCCTCTGGATGGCATGTTTTTCCACAGACTTTAAGAATGCTTTTAAGGCAAAGAATCAACTGACACAAGATGGTATCTTGCAAAAATAAGCTAAAGATGTAAGTGTAAAAACGTGAAGTGCAAGTCAAACTTCCCATCATTTTGGTTTACTTATTTATTGGACAAAATATTTCAGTTGGAAGCGACTCACCAACAATCATCTAGTCCATCTCCTGATCACTTCAGGGTGAACCAAAAGTTAAAACATTATTAAGGCATTGTCCAAATGTCTCTTAAACGCTGACAGGCTTGGCAAGCTGAACATCTCTCTAGAAAACCTGTTCCAGTGTCTGAGCACCCTCTTAGTAAAGAAATGCTTCCTCATGTCCAGTCTGAACCTGTGCTGATGCAGCTCTAAGCCATTCCCATGCGCACTGTCACTGGATCTCAGGGAGAAGAGCTCGGCACCCCCCTCTCTGCTTCCCCCCTCAGAAAGCTGCCAAGAGAAGTGAGGTCATCTCTGAGCCTCCTTCTCTCTGAACCAGACAAAGCCAGAGTCCTCAGCTGCTTCTCTCAGGACATGCCTTCCATCCCTGTCACCACCTTTGTTGCCCTCCTCTGGATGCATTCAAAGACCCTCACGTCCTTCATAAAGTTTGGGGCTCACGTAGGCTGCACACAGCACTGGAGGCGAGGCTGCACCAATGCTGAATACAGCAGGATAATCACCTCCTTTGACTGTCTGGCTGTGCTGTGTTTGAGGCCCTCCAGGATGGGGTTTGCCCCCCTGGCTGCCTGGGTTCCCTGCTGAGTCCTGCTGAGTTGCTGCCCACCAGCTCTGCCAGATCATTTCTGCAGGGCTGCTCTCCAGCCACTCTTGTCCCCGTTTATACCTGTGTCCTGTATCAATTTGTACCAGGTGCAGTATCTGGCATTTGTTCTAGTTAAATTATATGCCACTGATGATTGCCCAATGCTCCAATCTGTCTAGATCTCTCTGCAAACTTGCTAATGGTGTATTCAACTCCTGCATCCAGATTGTTGAGAGATATTTTGAACAGACCTGGCCCTAGAACTGAAGCCTGAGGAACATCGCTGTTGCCCTGTCACCAGTGAGATGTTAACTCCGTTCACTGCAACGCTCTGGGCTCTGCCCTTCAGCCAGTTCTTCACCCAGAGCACTATGAACTTGCTCATCCCACAGAGTCTCTCTGGAAATCCGTCACACCACAGCAAACACAACATTTAGCAGGCTAACACCCGTTTTTCAGTTTCTCAGTTACAGAAGCACATACCGAGTCTGGAATTCTCGACCTGGTAAAGAGACAGCGAGCCCAGGCTGGGGACGCCATCCCGTCCATCCTCTTTCCCAGTAGCTGCAAAGAGAGGAGGGCACAACTCGTTTGCACTTTCCTTGCAGCTCTGAATACCCGCAAACAGACGGCGCAGCCACGAGCCCCATACCCCGCGCGGATCCCCACCTGGATCCCGCCCCAGATCCCCACCTGGATCCCGCCCCAGTTATCCCCATGCCCACCTTCCCGACTCCTGCGAGCCCCAGGCCCGCCCGGACCGCCCCGGCGGCCATCGCGGTGCGCCCTCTTTCTTTCGGCCGGATCGCAGCGCCGCGGCACCTCAGTTCCGTGAGGGCGGAAGGACAAGAGTGCGACACCGCCCCCCTCCATCTCCCTCGTTCTCCTCCTCACCCTCCTCACCTCCCTGCCCGTTCCCTGTCGCCGTGCCGGTGCCGGTCCCCGTCCATGTCGCGGTCGGGGGGCGATGGCACCGCCGCGCTGGAGCGGGCCGGGGCGGAGACGGTGAAGCGGGCGGTGGAGCTGGACCTGGCGTCGCGGTTCCAGGAGTCGCTGGTGTGTTACCAGGAGGGCATCGATCTCCTGCTGCAGGTGGTGAAAGGTACCGGGCGAGGCGGCGCCGCGGCCTCGGGGGTCGGGCACGGCCCCGGGGACACTGGAGCTGTGTCGGGCGCCGAGGGCCGTCGTCCCACGGGGAAGGCGAGAGGGGCAGCTGGCGGCGTCCCCCCAGGAGAGCGGGGCCGGGGAGGGCTGGGGAGAGCTTTTTAATGGCCCCTGTGCTTTTGTGGGTCACAGCCACCAAGGATGAGGCAAAAAGCACCGCTACCGGAAGAAGATCTCCGAATACATGACCAGAGCCGAAGACATTAAAAAACACATCGAGAAAGAGAAACAAGGTACGTATTAAAATGTAAACGGAGGGTGCCAAGAGGATGGAGCCAGGCTCTGCTCAGTGGTGCCCAGCAATAGGACACGAGGCAAAGGGCAGAAACCGACTCCCAGGAAGTTTCACCTGAATATGAGGAAGAACTTCTTTATTGTGAGGGTGACTGAGCACTGGAACAGGTCGTCCAGAGGGTTTGTAGAGTCTCCTTCACTGGAGATATTTAAGAACTGTCTGGACACAATCCTGTGCCATGTGCTCTGGGATGACCCTGCTTGAGCAGGGAGGCTGGACCAGATGACCCACTATGGTCCCTTCCAGCCTGACCCATTCTGTGATTCTGTGAGCCTCGATGTACCCATTCACTTTCAAATGTCTGTTGTTATGCGAATGTTTGATGGGTGAGGTGTTCTAACACAGAAATTATGTCCTGACCTCTACTTAAAGAGAGACTTACTTTCTTTTCAGATGGCAAATACCATAAGCAAATCAGGATAGAGGAAAACGCAACAGGTTTTGGCTATGAAAAGCTTTTCCATGAGTACCTTACTGAGATTGTTTCTGAAGTTTGGGTGGAGGACCCGTACATTAGGCATGTTCATCAGGCAAGTAGATACTTGGTGTAACTAATACAGATGTACTTACTAGAGACATTCCAAGCTACTAAATTAAATAAAACTTTTACAGTTGTACAATTTTCTACGATTCTGCGAGATGCTAATTAAGGGGCCGTGCAAAGTGAAAACAATCCACCTCCTCACTTCCTGTGATGAGGTAAGTGTCTAGGTTTTGGTTTCTGTTACCAGAACTTGTTAGACTCGGGCTCTGATGCTTTCAGCAGAAAACTCAGACTTAAGAGAAAAATAAAGATGTGATACTGGAACATAAGTAATTTTGTAAGTTCAGAGTTTTCTAATTCTAATTCTAAAATTCTTGGTAAGCAGAGTCTTAAATCAAAAAGATGTCTCTGTGAAAGTTTTGTTACAGAAAATGTCATCAAAAGCAAAGCATCTATGGAGATACGGGGTTTTTTGCTCTTTCAATAGCTGTATTTAGTTGTCATTTTAGAGGCTTTAATGAGCTATAATCTCTCAAACTAGCATTGCATTTATTAAAACTATTATTTTTAATAGTAATTCATATCTAGTTTCAAAGGGCTGAGAGTGAGCTCCTCCTCCATGTCCCTTAGCAAATGGACCTGTAATCTGTCTGCTCTTTATCCTGTCTTTGAAACTGCAAATCTGCCTCCATCCAAGTTACTTCCTTTTGGTTTACTTTGATACTAAACAGTTTTTATTGGTGAGTTCAGGAAGAGGTGACCCAGAGTGAATTTATATTAAAAAAAACAAAACAAAACACAAACGAAAAAACCCCCACCACATTATTTTTATTTTTGACAGGGTAGTGGGAGGAGTCAGCAGATGAGTGGCTTGGAAGAAATACAGCAGTCATTAAGGAATTATGGAGTAACACTGAATATTGAATTTTCATCTTCAATACACGACCGAGAAATCAGGTGCGGGTTTTAAAAAATGTGCAAATGCCAGTTTTTTATATTATTATCAGAAGTCAAACTATTTAACCCTAACTTTTGAGACAACTATCAATTACAGCTGTGGTTAAGATAGTAGAAGGCAGTGGCCCTCACTGGATAAAATCAGCCTCCATAGTTTCATGTTGTCTAATTGCGAACATAATATTAGTTGTCTCTTTATACAGAAGAGTGTCTTCTGGGGTTGACACAGGTACTGTTTACACTAGGAAATAATGGTGATTGAAACAAGGAGCTTGTGCATCATGCGGATGTAACTATTTTTTAATTCAGCATACTCATAGTGTTCAAATTTGTGAATTTTTAAAACAGGTTCAACAATGGATGGATGATTAAGATTGGAAGGGGTCTTGATTATTTTAAGAAACCACAGGTAAAAATGCTTTGACCTCTTTAATTAACTTAAAATGAGCTCTTCTACAGAATCTGCTCACCATGTCAATTCTGTTAATTTCTGCAGGGTCGTTTCAGCATTGGATACTGTGACTTTGACTTGCGACCTTGTCACGAAACAACAGTGGATGTCTTTCACACTAAACACACAAAGAAAATGTAATCAGATATGACTGCTTTTAATAAGTGTATTCAGAAGCATAAAAATATAAGGCTGGAAGATGTTGCTTGAGTCCAGCTGCCCACCCTCAGAAGTAACTCTTCCGAGTACTTAGAGCAGCATAGCTTTTATAATCTATAGTTTTAAGAATACTTGAAGCTTTTCAGTCTAAGAAAACACAACTGTAAATTCCTTCACTTTACTTCTTCTGTAATCTTAATTAATACAATCCATGTCTAAATTTTATCTTGATTGCATAACGGACCCTCAATATTATCTTTTAAAGGCCTCTTTACTGTAATTTCTGTTTTTACTACTGATTTTGTCTTGAGGCAATTTTAGGGTTTATATCTGTAATTGACCACCTTACAGACATTGGAAGCTGGGCTGCCACATATCCTCTTTTATAAGCAGTCTTATTTACTTATTTACTATTTACTTCCTTTAATTCCTGTATTCTAGTCATGACTACTATTCTGCTGGGTTTTAGTCAATCTTGTGATACCTTGTTTCACAGACTTTACTAGTAATCCCAAATTTAACATTCCATTTTCCAACCCTCTTGCCTACAAAAGCTTTAGTGTTCAGTATACAGTCATTTTAGGGTTGTCTTTTGTGTCTCTGCATGATGGATTTTGGACTAGGAAGGCTGAAAACAGCTGTATTCTCTTCCCTGTCACTCCCATATGTTCTTTTTTTCCATGATGTGTGGTCATATACCTGATTTCCATCCTTTGCATTAGGTGTGGAAAGGATGTACGATCGTCTCCCAGTCTTAGTCTCTGACTTTAAAGTCCAATGACTGGCTACTCATGCCAATCTCAGCTGCATTTTTCCCTACTACTACGGTAGTCCCCTAAAAAAACCCATGATTTATTTTTAAGTTGGATAGCCTGAAAAGCTCAGTTGGTCAGAGCATGGTGTTAATTACACACCGTGGGTTCAATCCCCATACAGGCCGCTCACTTAAGAGTTGGACTTGGTGATCCTTGTGGGTCCCTTCCAACTCAGAATATTCTGTGATTCTAAGGAATATGCTATTTGGAGTAAAGACAAAGTCTTTCCTTGTCATTCCTTCATCCTTTGGAAACCAGAAGGTATTACCTGAGCTTCTTTTTCTTCTTAAACAAGAGTTCTTTCTTAGCAAGAATCCACCAAAGTCATGTTTTCTGACATGAAAAACAGGCAGTGGCCTCTTTTGCAGGTCCCATCAAAATCTTTTCAGCCTCAGGACTAATAGGTGCCTTATGCTTTCTGCTCCTGTAATACAGTAGGCCTCTGTATTCCGGTAGCACGTTTATAGGTGTATTCCATTATACTTTTTTTTTCTGTTAATGTGCTTTATTATTTTATTTTCTGTCATCTTATGCTGCTATTCTTTTCCTCTTGCCTATAACAACAAATCTGTTCCACAGAAATCAAGAAGAAATGGAGCTGATTTTTACCTTATTTTCCGGATCACGATTTGCCAGTGGTTTGCCTTCTTTATCCTTTCTCATAGTAATGTCTCGGCTTTGGAATGTTACATCAGCAAAATGAATAATGTATGTGCCACAGAGCTGTGTGCTACTAGTTGTTCCCCCAAACATTCCATAGAAGCTCCCTGGCTTGCTGCTGTGATACTAGTTTTCTAGTCACTGTTGTGAATTTTATTCAGTTGTGTATAATATATGCCTATTTTTAATGGGAATAAAGAGTATTTTTTATTATTTGTAGTTCTAGTCATCTGTTTGACTTCTTCACTGCATAGGGTAATTCAAGGAAGCTGGGTAATGCCTCATGGATCCAGCCATGTTTGGGAGAAGGCTCACTGTAAATACAGTAAGCTTCCCAAATGTGAAGCTGTCTTTTAACCTAGTTCAGCAATTTCATACAGAAGCAAAATAAAGAGCTTTTTCTTCTAATAATTCACTGGCTAAGACTACAGCTTTCCTTGCAGATCCCATGGATATGCAGTATATGTACATGTGTACAAGTAAGCCTTTAGTGACGTACCACTTGGTGCTGCACTGAAATTTTTATTTACAAGCCCTTTATCTCTGAGCAGTTCCTTGTGCTGTCAGTAGGAGCACCATGTATGAAGAGCAGTGGGCATCAGGGAATGGAAAAAAAACAACAAACTATCAGAGAAATCTGAGAGTACAGTTCTGCAATCATTTTATTGACTCCAAGCCACATTCTTCTGTGTTGCTGCTCACACGGATGCAGTTAGGTCATCACCTGGATTGTGCAGCCAGAACTGTCCCTCCTGGCATCATCTGTGGAGATGAGCTTAAGCCACCTTCCCTCCTGGACTCAGCCCTACAGCCAGTCCCAGCTGAGGGCTGGATTCACCCCCACAGACTGCACTCCTTAACTAAAGGTAGGTCCACTTTTGACATGTAATTTCCTCCTCATGAGAGCTGGTCAACCAGTCATCTTTTAAAGATGCCAGCAGTGTGGAAATAACATAGCAATACCTTATAGGCCTTTGCAGGCATCACTTTTTAAGTATTTGCAGCTGTCTCATCTGGGCAGCGTTATTTAATTAACTGCTGCTGTTCTGACCTGATCAAAATTGCATTCCAGTTATTCCATGACAGCATGCGGTGCTGTGACTTGGATTCACATGTTCTGCTTGGCCTGGGAGGACTGTAGACTGATCCCTGCTGAAACCCCCCGGTGCCACTTAGAAAGGTAAGAGACATTTTAAAGTCCTTACTGGAGGTTCAGCTGAGGGTTTTCTATATGGACAACAAGGACACTGGAAATCAGAATGTCCTTACAGACCTACCTGTAAGTCTTCTGAGTCTCTGTCCAATAGTTATGCTAACTTTTCATCCAACTTTCCCTTCATGCCACGGGCTCGGAAATGTGATTAGGACAGCCCCAAGAACGTAAACATCACTGCTCCTTTACTTTCTTGAGGCCAGACTGATCTTTATTTATCTTGCCCTATTAACAGCAAGACCGTTTCTTGCCTAATTGATACTGGCATTTCTCAACCCACTTTATATCCACCTCTGTTTTTCCTGCAGTTTCCTTATATACAGAAGTAGTAAACTGTATTGGTATTTCAGGGTAACACCTAAGTTCATCTAGTAACAAGCTCTTTGTAACTGTCTGTCTCATTTCTGGATACCATGGTTTTATTTTAAGTCCTACCAGCCTGGTTAACCTTCTGGGAAAAGACTTAGGTAAACTGAGTTGTGCTTATATATTGTGCTGAATGGAATTTACCTTGATGTCCTCACACCTTGACAGGGTGAATTTATAGCTTTTTTGCTTGATGAACCTCCCACTTCAAATTTAACTAACTCTACTATGCAACAGCAGCTTGGTGAAGAAAGAGCTATGTAATATAAAGGTACATAAACTCTGTAACTACCTCATTTGGAGACTTCACATCAGTGGAGTCTGTCACTGCTACAGTGGGTTCTCTCCTACAGCTGTAGCAATAAACTGCTTCTGTTCTGACTTAATCAAAATTGCATTCTGCTCATTCACAACAACAGTGAAATATATCATGAGCCTTTCTTTCATAATTTCACTTCATACTGAACTATTACTTAACATTAAAATTGTTATTTCCAGTTCACTATTGTCTTTTACTAGAAAATTTTCTCCTAGCTTGTAACATAAGGAACCTGTTTCTCCCAGGTCTGTATTTGCAACTGTACCTCCTAAAGTTTAGCTTAGATACTAGTACCCATGCCAGTAGGGACTCCCAGCTTTGTGCCAGGCAGTGCAGGAACAAAGGAGGCACAGGTGGCCTCTGTCCCAGTTAAGGCTTTCCTGCCCTCATCACACAACCCCCCACACTGAACTTCCTAATCCTTTGCCCGCTCTTGCACACGCATGGACAAAAAAGCCCTGATCCAGGGTGGAACTGTCAAAGTGATTCATTACCCAGCAATGAGTTCAGCATACTACCATGATTGTACAGTGGAGACACAGGGGCACCAGCATTCTGCAAGAAAGGAATTTCAACCAGAAACCAGGGGACATCCCTCTCCACACAGTTCAGGGGCTGAGACACAGCCTTTGGACTACTATCCCCAAGGAACAGGGTGCAGGCTGGGGTATGCAATGCAGCAGCACAGCACCAGTTTTCACCTACCCCATCCCATCTCTGTCAGCCATTTGTACCTCCTCTGCTACAGGGCCCATTTGGGATGCCCACACCATTTTCTCCATTTTAAGCAGCAACGATGTCTTGTCAGCAGTGACTTACATCCTACAGTTTGGGAACATCAGGTGCAGGCAGTGTGAAATTTAATTGTAATATTAAACAAAAGCACAAGATTGAACAGTTTGACCAGTAAGAGAAAAATTCAGCTTGTAGAAATTGTTTTAATTTTGTTTTCAATGCATTAAATAAAAAAGCAACAGAAGTTTAACTTAAATTTTCGAAATGCAAGTCACATTAGCATTATCATATTCTCACATAGTAGATTCCACCTGCTGTGCAACTCATCATCTTGTGGACATACTCTTAGCAATGTTGTTGCTATCGTTGTGGTTTCATTTGGGCAAAACTTACTGCCAGTAAGGCTCTTGACCAGTTCACTGTACAGTGCTGGTGGCAGCCACTGCTCCGGCAGGTCGATGTTACAGACTTCAATCCTTCCATGCTTTACATCCATATTTACTTTAACGTCAAGAACAGAATCTTTATAGGCCATGTTAAGACAAGTGCTAATGCTGAACTTTGGTGTCTTTCCGTACACCCACTCCCAGGTTTGTAGTTCTTTAGTTTTATTATTAATTCCAGGAAGCAGAGTCTCATCAGCTGGGTTTATTAAGGTGATATGATGATCTATTTGGTGCTGTGTAGAATATTCCTTAGCAATGGCATCCAGGAGCATCTCAGAAGTTAAAGTAGGATCCTCTTCAAAGAGATTTTTCACCGAGGCAGGCACACTAGGAGTGGCATTGCTCTTTAGCCCTTTATAAGGACTTTTTAGCACAGAAGATAAAACAAACTTATCTGCATTACAGAGTAAGGTACAGTGGTGGTAAGCACTTGTCCCTCCCAGCTTTGCAGCGGTACCTGAGATTTTGTAGTGCCTATCCAGCAAGATGTCATATCTGTCAGTGACATGTATGTCTAGCTGGGGGCGCAAGGCTTTCAGTGCCTTCACAACCAGTTTCAGGTTTTCCATTCGCTCGTATTTTTTTCTGGTTGTGAAGAAAGTCAAATTGATATTACCTAGGTCATGGTAAACTGTGCCTCCTCCACTTCTTCTTCTGGCTAGTTTTATATTTTTTTGCCTCAATAGCCTGAGGTTGCATTCCTGCCAGGGATTCTGATGTCTCCCTATTACCACAGCAGGGGAATTTCTCCAAAGGAAAAGGACCTGTCGCTTCTCTAAATCCATGTGGTCGTGGATCCAGTCTTCAACAGCTAGATTTTGGTAAACGTCATTAGAAACAGACTGGATAATGAGGGCTCCACGAGCTGTGCTCTTGAAGCCAGCTTTTGGAGTCCTGAGGGCGCAGGACAGCCGAAGGCAATTCTTTAACGATGGCTGGAGCACCATGTTTTTAATAGTGGACAGCGAATGGAAGGAATTCCCACTCTGCTAAAGCTGGATGCGGCAGAAATGAAATGCTAGAGGCAGGCATGACGCAGTCACTCTCTTCCCACGGCAGCACGCCAGTTCCAAGGCATGGTGATTCTCCGGGTGATGCCGCTCAAGCCCTGTCGGGAGTTTCACGTAAACATCCGGGGGTGTCAGAGCAGCCGCTCCTCGCAGTCCCTGGTGCCTGAAAGACCAAAGGAAGAAACGGAATGTGTATTTTCCCCCTCACTCAACAGAGCCTTCCTAACGCGGTTTTACTTCGCGTAGTCTAGCTCTGTAAGGGTTTTTTGGCTTTTTTTCCACGGCGTTCCTGGCGCAGTGTCCCTGCGGCCCCCGCCCGCCCCCGCGTCCCGCCGGCCACCCCCGCGCTACTCACGGCGGGGAGCGCCGTCCCTGCCCCTGCGGGCTCCCTGGAGCCGGCGGCGTCCTTGGAGCCGGCGGCCTCCGCAGCGCCTTCCGCTTCCCGGGTGAGAGGTGCTGGGGGCGGGCGCTGCTCTGCCGCGGAGCCGGGGAGGGGATGGGAGCGGAGAGCGGTGAGAGGGCTCCTGCTCGCTCGGGGATTGCAGATGTCCCGCCTGTCCCAGCGCAGCCCTGGCACTGCGCAGCGGGAGGGAGCTGGGACAAAGCCGGAATGATCGGGTCGCAGAATCACTGAATGGGAAAGGTTGGAAGGGACCGCACTGGGTCACCTGGACCAACCTCCCTGCTCAGGCAGGGTCATGCTAGAGCACATGGCACAGGATTGTGCCCAGACGGGTCTGAACATCTGAGCGAGGGAGACTCCACAACCTCTCCGGGCAATCTATTTCAGTGCTCAGTCACCCGCACAGTAAAGAAATTCTTCCCCATATTCAGGTGGAATTTCCTGTGCATCACTTTCTTCCTGTTGCCTCTTGTCCTATTGCTGGGCACCCCCAGCAATAGAGCCTGGTTCCACCCTCTTGACACCCTCCCTTCAGATACTTACAGGCATCGTCAATAGTACTTACAGGGTCATGCCAATAAGAAGCCAATGCACAGCGGATAAAATGGATGATTCTTCTTCTTGAAGACCCAGCTGCACAGTTTCTTGCCACAGGTTGTTGCGGATGCTAGAAGCTTTCATGGGTTCACAAAGAGACTGAAGGAGTTAACACAAATGCACAGAGGCTTGTGAAGTACACAGAGACTCTCCATGGGACTTAGGAAGATATGGAAACTAAATGTTGATAGCATAATTCATTATCAAGCTGGAAGTGATCAAAAACTGTGACTGTAGAGGTATTTCATGCAGAAAGTTGTCTCCAGATTTACACTGGTTTAAGCCTTTCTTGAAGTCTTCCACACCTTAACTATCAAGAGCTCTTGTCTGTATTTAAGCTTACACTGTGGGACAGTGTTCAATGCTAGCTGAAATGTTTTACCTGCAGTAGTATCCCTATGGGCAAATATGTGTTGTACATCTCTTTCTGATGTATGTGTATTCATGAAGGACACATTGCGTGCTTTTGTCTTCCATTCTGCATTAATATAGGAGTACCAAGACATGAAGGAACTGTAGAGAAAAAGATTGGTACAGTAGGTTGTGAGAATTCACGTAGGCTCTCCCTCTTGAACAGGTAGTTAGGGCTAAGTAATTTTTCTTCTCTCTAGTTCTAGGAATGGGTGGCTTTCAAAGAAATGCCAAGTTGATATTCTTATTCTGGTGAAACAGTGAGATTACTTGAGGAAGCAGTTTGGGTTTGGGTATGTAATTGGGTGTTCATGTATTTGCTTTTCCAGTAAAGAAAACTGTTTATAATGTGACCTGAATTGCCTTAACCTTCTAGTTGAAGAAACAGTATCCAGAACAGCTATATTCCCTGAAAGGTGAAAGAGAAAAGAAGGTAGATAAGGATAAGAGACTTCCAAGATTAAAAACATAAGCTTAGGGTTATATCCTACTGAAGAATTGATTAATTAAGAGAATGACAGTTCCTTACCAAACCCTTAAGAGCTGTGTGGGCGTAATAGGGCAAGTAAAAGGTAAGAAACCATCACCACGTGGGTGCTGGTGGTGATTAGTGGGAGAAACAGACTCTAAAAGAAACTTGATGTGATGTGTTTCCCAGCACTTGGAATGTTATATTGTCATATTAAAAAAAAATTAAAAAATTGTGAATTGTTTTAAGTGATTTGAAATAGACATAACTTTTTGCTAAATTAGACTGGTGACAAGTTTTCACTGGGGTGAGCTATTCAGTAATGCACAAGCTAAAAGGCATGTGTACTTCTGAATATTGGAAAATCAACTTTGGAGGTAGTTGGCAAAATGCAGAAGTGAACCTGTGCGCTGTAACGCCGGTCAGAGGTAGGGAAATGCGTCTTGTGAGACTTCTGATGTTACTAAAAACCAAACAAAATGTGGGACCATTTGTTTCCACTTCAGCAGTTGATTCTTGGAAATTTGCAATGTGTCATTTTGCCACAGGGTGCCACTAAAAACCTACTTTGAGCTGTTACACTCTGTGTTTTTCTAGTTAAAAAATGTTTCCATAGATAGAAGCACAATGTGCTAAAAAAAGTTAAGTGTGCAGAATACTGGATGGACAGGTAAAAATGTCATGGGTCTGTTTCTGCTATGCTGAAGGATAAAATACACATGCAACAATAAACACCTTTCCTGAAAAGTGGCTATTGTTGAAGACAAACCTAGCAAGATGATTGGAAATATTCTGACAATAAGCAAAAAGTATGAATTTAGAAATGCACACCATGATCTATTTATCTCCTCTGGATCGGACTTTTAAATACATTTTTAATGTCTCAACTGCTAATGTATAAATCACATCTGCAAAATACAGCAGTTGTTATTTTTGCTTTTGAAAACACTCCTGTGTATGAATTTCATTTCTTCTTTGATCAACAAAGTGTTTGTTTGGTATACAAAAAGCAAAGTAACCACTCTGCACAACATTAACCAGCATTAACATGTAAGAGAGAACTCACCATTTGTCTCTTAGAGGATACCTTAGACATACCAGAGCAAAATTAATTAAAAATGTCTAATTTCACTCCTAAAATGAACTTTCATAAAGAATAATTTTTTATTCTTCATAATAAAAATATTATTATTAATAACAATAATTAAAGTTATGAAAACCTGAAATGCTCTTTTCACATCTCTTTTGGAGATAAACATGACAATGCAGAGCCTCTGATGATTTCCACCATACCAAAATCTGAAAGAAAGATTTATAATAAATCCAGGATGGAGGGAGGATAAGAAAGAAACTTGTTTCTCTTACTCTTTTTCTGGAAGTTAAAATCTTCCAATTTCTTCTCTTTGGGTGGGGATTGTATTTTCAGAGGTGTTACTCACACCTAATATCTGAAAAGGTGAGCTCTATTCAGGAGTGCTTTATAGTGGTTGCTTGCCAAGAAAAACCCATCATTCACCTGGCACCATCTGCAGAATATAAAACTGTGCTAGTGGCTAACAAGGAAGAGAGTGCATTTCATCTGATTTCTCAGCTTGACTTTGTGACTACCTAAAGCAGCCTCTTTCAAAGACTCTTTATATCCATGCCCGACAGAAGCAGGCAGTAGGAGTCAGAGGACTCACATGGCCCCCTTAGCCTTTTCACATCACTTTCTTCAAAGGCACCAATCTTCCTGTCCCTGTCTGTGCCATTCCAAGAAGAGATATGCAGCTAGAGGTACTGTAAATAAGAACTGCCATCTTGGACATAAGAAGGTGTAAGAAGTAGTTTCTCTCATATGATTTTGTTGGTGGAATAAAGAAAAGCGTAATTAGCCTTGTAATACCATGACATTTTAACTTTACAATGTCTGTAAACCAGTTAATACATCAATCCTGGCATTAAAAATCAGGAATGAGTTCAGACTGGTGTTTTATCATATGTGTGAAGCTAATGCTTGACACTGTCAAGAAACAAGTGTGATGTTAAGGGTGATGTTTATTCTGGACGATACAACTGGCACATAATCTTACAAATACATATGCAAATTAGATGGGGTTTGGATAGAGGATAAGGTTTAATTAAAAGAAGGCTATTTTCACAAGATTTAATCAGTCTTATCTAACACTTGTTTTGTTCTTGTCAAGTTAGAGAGATTGTATTGCAATTGCTGGAGTTTTCATCTGTAAAAGTGTCTCCTTGGATATTAGTTTCTGAAAGAGATGAACCTAATTAGAGCAGAGGTGTTCAGCTGAGCTCCCTGAGCTCACTGTCAGTCCCAGCTGATCAGCTGTGGCAGTTTCAGAATACCCATCTCTCTCCTGGGGCTGGACTAACGAGACTTGGCTGCTTGGCTTTGTCTCTGAAGTCTTCTGACCTGTGAGCATTGCTTGGGCTGCCTTTCCCTGCCTTTCTCTGAGACTTTCAAATTAATCACAGATGAGGACTATGCCGCATGTGTGCAGATGGGTCCTGGGAGGTTTGAGTTAAAGGTGCTCTAAAACCAAAGAATTCCACTCAAACCAGCAACGGGAGGTGGTATTGCCAGAGAATGTCAATTTATTATGCTCACCCACCTCCCTCTTTCCATCCCCAAATAGCTATGAAGAATTGAACTATTATTGGAGGAAGTCATCTTTTTGTTTGTTGAGGTGTGGAGAGAATGTTGTGTCACTTGAGTTAAGCCAAGTCACTTGGCTTAACTCCCTCTCCCAAAAAGAAGCCATTCAAAAAGGTATAGCAGCAACTGGTCACTCAGTATTCATTTGTACTTAAAACCAAAAAGAAATATGAACACCTTTTCTTGACTTTAGTTATGTTTATTGAGAAACTGTGCTCTAAGTCATAAACCCGATACTGAAAGCTGAATTTTCATAGATAAGAGTTATTCAAAAACCTCCCAAGATGAAACCAAGTAGAAAAATAATTAAAATTTCTTTGAAGGCAGTGCTCATAAATATTTATATAAGAATTAATGGGAAAAATGGGTTTACTGATAACTTTGTACAGTATTTTACAATGCATCTTTTTTAAAATAATTTTTAGGATTATTTCTAACGTCTGATTTTGTTTTGCCTCTAGAATTTCAATCATATACACCTGTAGGGACAACAAGGATTATGATAATCTTTGAAAGCAAGATTTAAGAGCATAAAAGTGCAGAGACTGCACGCTCACTGCACAGAGCTGTTTAGGTAAGCTGTTGTGCTGGTACTGTACCAGAAGCTGGTATGGTCATCACAGCTCCTTGGCTTCCATCCCGTAGATCCTCCGGCTCAATGAAAACACAGAGTCATAGACGGGTCAGAAGAAACCTTAAGGACCATTTAGTTCCAACCCCTGGCCATGGGCAGGGACACCTTCCACTAGACCAGGTTGCTCAGAGCTCCATCCAAGCTGGTCTTGAACACTTCCAGGGATGGGGAGTCCACAGCCTCTCCAGGCAACCTGTTCCAGTGTTTCACCACCCTCACAGTCAAGAATTTCTTCCTAATATCTAATCTAAATGTGCTGTCTTTCAGTTTAAGGTCATTCTCCCTCGTCCTGTCACTACATGCAGTTGTGAAAAGTCCCTCTCCAGCTCTCGTTGGCCACCTTTAGGTACTGGAAGGTGCTGTAACGTCTCCTCAGATTCTTCTCAAGGCTGAAACAACCCCAACTCTCACAACCCGACTTCATAGGAGAGGTGCTCCATCCCTGTGATCATCATCATGTCCCTCTTTCAGGCTTGTTCCAACAGGTCAGTGTCTTTCTTTAGCTGGGGGCCCCAGAGCTGGATGCAGAGCTCCAGGTGGGGTCTCATGAGGGCAGAATAGAGGGGGACCATAACTCCTTCGAACTGCTGGTCACACTCCTTTTGATGCAGCCCAGGATGTGATTGGCCTTCTGGTCTGACAGCACACATTGCCAGGTCAGGTTGAGCTTCCCACCCTCAAATGCTGCCAAATCCCCCATGTCCTTCTCCCCAGGACTGCTCTTGATCCTTTCCTCACTCAGTCTACGTCCATGTCACTGATGATGTTCAATAGCACCAGTCCCAATACCAACTACTGAAGAACACCACTGGTCTCCACTTGGACACTGAGCAGCAACACTTTGAGTGCAGCCATCCAACCCATTCCTTATCCAGCAAATGGTCCATCTGTCAAATCCACATCTCTCCAGATTAGAGACAAGGATATTGTGCTGGATAGTGTCAAATGCTTTGCACAAATCTGGGTAGATGACATCAGTCACGCTTCCCTCATCTACCTCTGCTGTAACCCCTTTGTAGAAGGCCACCAAATTTGTCAGGCATGATTTGCCCTTAGTGAAGCCATGTTGGCTGTCACCAGTCACTTCCTTACTTTCCATGTGCTTTAGCATAGTTTCCAGGAGGATCTGCTCCATGATCTTGCCAGACACTGACTGTCTTATAGTTCTGTGGGTCTTCCTTATTTCCCTTTTTAAAAATGGGGGGATTTATGCTTCCCTTTTTCCATTCAGTGGGAACTTCACCAGATTGGCACAACTTCTCAAATATGACAGATAGCAGCCTAGCCACTTCATCCACTAGTTCCCTCAGGAATGGGTCAGCCCCGGGTGAAAGGACAATACTGTGAGAATGTAATGGTTCTATGGACAGCTTTTCTTTCACGGGGCAGAGTTGGAAACGGGGTTCCTAACAGCTCTTCACAACCATCCAGACCAGCCAGGGCTTTCGCTCCGATATCTGGGAGAAGACAAACCACCTCCCACCTCAGCAGTGTCGCTGCCCGCCGGCCGCTGCCGGGCGCCCGGGGAACGCGGCGGGAGGGATGGAGGGAAAGAAGGAGAGAAGGAGGAGGGTGTTGGGGCGGCAGCGGGCGCGGCGGAGGGTGAGTGCCTCACCTGGCCACGGCATCGCCATGAGCGGCTCCCCGGGGGCCGGAGGGCGAGAGCGGAGAGCCGCGCCAAGGCAGCGACCGGCGGCGCTCGGCCCGGCGCCCCGGCCGGGGGTGTGCGGAGGGAGGCTCCGGGCTTTGCCGGGACTGCTGGTGCCGTGTGCGCTCCGGAAAACAAGGAGGAAAGGAGCATCTGAAGTGCTCCTTATGGGGAGTTGAATCCCAGTTGCGAGGGGCTTGGGGTGGTTAAAGCTTAACCGCTTTATGGCAAGCATAAATAATGGTTATTGTAGGATATGTAAATATTACCTTTTTTTTTCTTCTGAAAAAGCGCTCTGCCATAAGTTGGGTATAAGTAGTATTGTGAGTGAGAATATGTATTCCGTGCATAAATTTGAGTCCTCGGTGCTCAGTGAAGTGCTGAAGGTACTGATAGCTTGACCGCTCTGATCTGTTCTCTAGGACTAGGGCAATGTAAATAACTGGAGAACTTGAGAGTGCCTCTATCAGAGAGCAGAATATTAGGATGGGATTCACCTAATCTATTTGATGTGTCAACACTGATGATGACTGTAATAGACATCTAGGCTGCCTTTATTGTCAGAGGTACTCGTAGGGCATGATGAATTTTTGTATGAATGCCAAAAATTGATTACAGGAATCACTTTCTAGAAATTACTTTGTGTAGAGACCCAAAATCAAGTCAGCTTACACCTAAACAAACAGGATTTGATATGCAATTTAGAATTTTGGAATTGCAGTTCATCTTCAGAATCTGTTTTAGGCCCCTAGGTGACTGTCTGGATTTCAACAATATTTATTTGCACATTACTTTATTTCCATTGCAAAAATTCACCTTTCATGGATCTTAAACAAGCATAGTGTCCTACTTTCTTTCATATTTAAAAATTCATTAGATATTCCACTTGTTTTGAACAGATGTATTTCAAGTTAATTAACATTTAGCTTTCATGTCCTTTTCTTTCCTGTCACATCCCTTTTAGAACGACCTTCAGACATATTCTGTAATATAACAAAAAAGAGAAAATACAGATGCAGAAGTTACTTTAACGTATTATATGGATATTTATTTTAATTAGATATCTGCTTCATCTTCATTTTGTAGAGTATATTTATCCATTTTACATTGAAGTATCATTAATTACAGAAGTTTTATTTCAGTAAATGCATTCTCTCATTTATGCTCATGCAGGTTATTTTACAAACAGAATCTGAAATAAAGCAAGGGAAGTCACCCTCAAGGTTTGATATGTTTATTAAGTCATTGGAAGAGAACAGAGACTACTATAAATGTGAGACTGAGAATTTGTTGAAGGTATTAAGAAACACATCTTCAAGTCCTAAGCTAATCTCTTTTTGTGACCGTGTGTCAAAAAAAATCTCAGCCATCCAAGTGAGCTTGGAAAATCACTTTGGAAGAAGAAGAATGTATTTTTTAGAATGTCAGTTTATCTTATATTAAACTACCAAAGCTATAATCACCAGGAAGAAAACCTAATTGATTGTAAACAGAAGGATGCGTAGGACTGGAATGGGCCAATAGTGTGAACTTAACTGTTGCTTTATTCTGCATGCATGTATGTCACTTTAAATGGTAACTGACAAATGCTTATATATTAAGTAATTATTAACATGGTTGTCAGTACCATTTATGATTGATAGACATTTGCTGCTCAAGATAAACGTGTCTTTTAGAAAATGGTATGTATATCTGTTCTCTTATATTGAGAAATATATACATTAGTCTTGGCTATCTAGAAGTTATCAGGTTGAAGACTGTTTAAATCTTTCATAGAGTTTTCCAAACCAGATATAATAAGAAACCGTTTCAAGTTTTGCTTCTCTCCTTTAGCCTTATATCACCTTATTCTTTAAGGGAGTGAGTTTTGATCCAAAAGTTTTTAAAATATTGAGAGAACGTGAAGAACTTACATCAAAGCTGAAAAAATATGAGCATCACGTGGCAGAAATTCTGGGTAACTTGCAAGTTTTAACAGCTGAGAGAGGCAAAATTGTCAATCTTTATGAATAAGTAATTTTATTTATATTTGTATGATTAATTGAAATAACAAGGAGATGTGCAAGAAAAATTTCTACTTTTGGTTTAGTATGAAAAAGGAAAAAATGCAAAGTACTTGTTTAAAAAATAGCAAAAAAAGTTATGGAAATTCTGTGATTTAAATCTGTCAGTTTAATACAAGTTTGTAAGTGTTGTCCTGAGTTAAGAATGCTTTTCTGAATCAAAGAATATATGCACAAATAAATACTTCATCTTTGATATTACACAGTTTCTGGGATGCTCTGCATTACCAACCATAGGCTATGGTAACACACTACATTATTTATTCCATGTTTCTGTTATGTTGCTGTTTTTAAAAACAGGCACAGAAGGAGATTTTCTGGCTCCTTCAGGAAGTTATAAAATGCCCCAGGACTCCTAAAAGCACTGCAGCAGCTCAAGCTATGTTAAGGTGTGTGGAGATAGAAAGGGATACAGCACTGTCAGATTTCCCAAGGATGAATACAGAACGTGATGGCCTCAGGGAGCAGTTAAAGGTTTTATTCTGTCCCATTCTATCCCACCCCCAGACCCCCCACAAGGTTACTTGTACGTGAAAACTACTTAGTAGTGTAATTAAAGTTGCTAAAGATTTCTATTGTGATCCTGAGCATTAACTGCTTTACAAGTCTGTCGTGAGTTGAAACTTGTTCCATATGTGATTTTTTTTGGTTACTGTTATTTGATACAGATTTCCCAAGAAACTGCGTTGAATCAAAAGGCTCATTTGGAACAGAGAATTGAAGAGCTTGAAACTGCTATTCATAATGTAAGGGAAAATAATTATTTATAGAATTGTAAATGTAATACAGCTGATGTTCATGGTTAATCCTGCAGGACTGACGTAATTGTTTTCTATTGGAAAGCAACAGGTTGAGAGCAGTGGATGTTATTTACGAAGACTATTCCCCTCTACTCCACTCTGGTGAGACCCCACCTGGAGTGCTGTGTCCAGCTCTGGGGCCCCTAACATAAGAACGACAGAGACCTGTTAGAATAAGTCCCAAGGAGGGACTCCAAGTTGATCACAGGGCACAGAGACAGGCTGAGAGAGCTGGGATTGTTCAGCCTGGAGAAGAGAAGGATCTGGGGAAACATTATAGCACCTTCCAGTACCTAAAGGTGGCCAACAAGAGAAATGAGGAGGGACTTTATACAGGGGCATGTAGTGATAGGACAAGGGGGAATGACCTAAAACTGAAGGAGAGCAGGTTTAGATTAGATATAAGGAAGAAATTCTTGACTGTGAGGGTGTTGAGGCACTGAACAGTTGACCAGAGGACTCCCCATCCCTGGAAGTGTTCGAGACCAGATTGGATAGAACTCTGAGCAACCTGGTCTAGTGGAAGGTGTCCCTGCCCATGGCAGAGTGGTTGGAACTAGATGGTCTTTAAGGTCCATTCCAACCAAAACTGTTCTGTGATTCTATTGTTTTAAGACTGTATCAAGGCTTTTGACACTGTTACCCACAGTGTTCTTGTATCCAGGTTAGGATGGGCTTCTTCCACCTGGAGTAGAAATGGCTTAAGTCCTACCTGCCAATACTCATCAAGAAGTCATAAACAAGCTTTCTACAGCAGTGCATGGTGGAAGAATAATAGATATTGGTTGAAATGAAAAGGGTTCAGGCTGAATACAAGGAAATACTTCTTTCTCGTGAGGGCAGTTGTGCAATCCCCAGCCTTGAACATTTTCAAGGCTGGACTGGACAAAGCCCTGAGCAGCCTGACCTCAAAGCTGGCCCTGCTTTGACCAGGAGGTTTAGACTAGAGACATGGAGTCCATATCAGTGTGAATTATCTTATGACTGGTGTATTACTGGGACCTGATGCTTCAAAACCAAATGTAATTGCACTGTTCTGGCAAGTCCTATTTAATATGGTTTAAATTAATTGTTTGCTAATGTGTGGCACTAAAATAGAAAATGAAAGCATAAATAAAATTAATGTAAATGTTAAATTTATTTATAGTCTTTGTAGAATTTGGTTTTTAAATACATTAACATTGATTTCTGTAGCGTATCTTTCTTCTAGATTTTGTGGTTATAAATTTTGGTTCATTTTCTTTTTCCCCCTCAGCCTTCTAAAATCCTACCAAGCTTATAAATATAATACCAAGGTTTATAATATTAAATTGAGTGCATCTGAAAGGAAGAATACACTGTAGGCTTAAATCGCTCTGAGTAGTAAATTAACTTTAATCACACACCTACATATGTGTAGGGAATATTGAGAGCCCTGTTTTAGGTACATCTTATTTCTTCAGTTCTTTTTGTACCCTTTAAGGGCGATACAATCAACATGAAATTTATGGCACTAGTACTGAAAAAGTTATTGTGTACCAGATGCTTACTGACTCGCTCTTTTGAAATCTGACCTTTGATTACAGTAGCACAGAAATTAGTACTGGAAGAATCAGTGAATGAGGAGAAAGATGAGGTGAGAATATTTGTACTTTAAAAGAGCTGTTTCAAATAATTTAGAAAGGACAATCCTTTGAATGGTAAGTGTAAGCATTTTGATAAAAATATGCCTGTTTCTTTAAACTGGAGGTTTCAAACTAGCTTTGCTGGAGTTTGCGCAAGAGGTTTTGGACCTGTTCTTTGTTCTAGCTACAGACCTGAGGGCCTCATGGGGATAACTGGTTACGTAGTGCTTTATGCAAGTGTTTTACAATGATTTCTCTACCCTGTTACTGGCATAGGTATGTAACTTAGTAGAGGCCTAAAGCCATCATTGGTTGTGTTGTACCCCAAACTGGGATTTCTCCCTTCGTACACCCATAATAATGCTTTCTCTTATGTTATTTTGCACTGAAAACTTCTAATGTTGATCAATGACAAACATTTTTGCCCTTAGGCATAATCACCAACAGAAAATTTACATGAATAAATAAAAATATTCCCAGAGATCTGAAAGACAGGAAATTGATTTACCTTCAAAAGAAGTGAAAGTCACATTTCAGCTCTTTGTCAGCTGTCTTCAGTAGACTTGTAGTCAGGCCTTGAGCAAATGAAATACTTGGACATTTCTTCCTCAGCAAAAGCTTTGTGCTAAAAAAAGAGTAAAAATTAAAATAATATAAACTATATATATAAAACAGGCCTTTTTTTTCAGCTTTTAATGTTTGATTATATTTACAGTTAAATAGTGAACGGTTAGAACAGATGTCCAAAGTGGCACTAATAAAAGACACCGTTGATTCTCTGGAAACTGAGATGAAAAGATTGCCAAGAAAAGTACTGGACTCTGAAACTGAGCTGAGTCAACAAGAAGCCGAATATTTTTCTCTTAGGTAACTAAAAGTATAAAATTGCATTAATTTGACTAGTAACATCAGCCTATGTTCATTGGTTCTCGTAACTTTTACATAGCTCAAAGGGAAAGGAATTTACAATAGCTGCTTATGAGCCACCTTTCTTTTCAGAATGAAATTGTTTTCCTCGTTGCTTATTTATATGCAAATGTTTTTTTCTTGTTGATATGATGATATACTGAAAACCATCTTCAGTGAAAAACTAAAATTCACTTTGACTTAGAGCTAGGAGCTTTTTATTAGAAACTTCAGGGAATGATTTTTTTTGGTAAATTGCATATGAATAATTTTGCTCTCTTGTTTTTAATATTTGTTTTTATAAAAGCTGGCAAACGTGCATAAAATAATGAGTGTCAGATGTCGTTAGTTTAGGTGTCATTATCCACGTCTTAGTTTTGGAGCCTTTTCATGAGAGAAACTGAAACACTTTGCATAGAGTTTATGGCCTGCTGCTCAACTGGATCTCCTACCCATGTTCAGAAGCATGCAGTAGAACTAGACTCAATCAAAGCCTTTAGAGAATAAAGCACAGGTCAATGAGTGCAAGACAAAAAACAATAATTTCCTGACTGGAAGAAAAGATCAATTGAATGTGGAGTTTGTGCAGAGAGATATGAAAGAGTAATTCACAGACTGAACTGGGCTACTGAGTGAATAGACTGCCAGAGAAGATACTGCAAGTTTTTCTCTTATATTTCCTTAATAATAATTCAGTTAGAGTAACACTGTTCTTAACCTGTATCCTTACAAGTGACTGGTGTAGCTTACTGGTGTTGTAGTTTTTTTGTTGGATTTTGAGTAGTGGGAATGCTGGGTATATCACACAATACTGTGCTGACCCACAATACTTCTCTAATGATACTGTGATTTCTAAAATAGCATGAACACCTTTGCAAACCCAGTCCTGAGTTACTACTCCTTTATTGTAGTTTTGTCAGATTTATGAATACTGTAAAAACTGAGTTGTTGAAAATTAGATGCCACTACTGAAATATCTTTTTTCTTTCTACCTCCAAACCAGGCTGATAATTCTCTTCATTTTCTTGAACAGTGTGAGAATCATTAATACTAATCATTAATACTAAATTATTTGGACAAATAACTTGGGTCAGGAATTCCGATGTATGTCTTAAGGGATGATTTCTATTTTAATTATTTTTGTGAAATTTTTACAACCACCTGCTTTAAAGAATTCTTGCTTTTCTGTGATCCTTTAGAGGAGTATTCAGACTTTAATATACAGACATTACAGTTAACAATAATAAAATACCCCAAATAGTCTAAAAAGGATAGAAGAATCTCACTTTTTCATATCCTTTGCAATTTTAGTGACATTTCAAAAAGGAAAAAAAATATATCAATGTCTGAATTCTCCTGTTTAATTCTTCTGCTTTTCCAGTTTACTGAAAGAAAAGACAGAACAGAGTCTTTCAGAGACTCAGCAAAGCCTCATTAAGAAAAAACACGAAATGAAACTTAGCCAAGAGAAAATGATGCTTTTGGATGAAAAAACTGGTGAGTGACAGGTACGATTTTTAAAATAAAGTTCAGTAGGCTAATTGTTACATTCTACATTTTTATTCTTCTTTTTTCTCCCTTATGGGTTGAAAGAAAAGGTGTTGAATGCAAATAAGTATACTTTTGACAGTTTTAACATTCTGAGTGCAAAACTTCTGTTTTCTTTCGTTGTTGGAGGGGGTTTGCATTTTAAATTAACCCATTTCTCCACCTGGTGCAGGTCCCTCTGGATGGCAGCATGACCCTCTGGTGTGTCAGCCTGTATGTTTTTTATAGGATGTAAGTCTTGCTGTAAGAGGAGTTTCTGTGATTCTTTTCTGCAAATGCAATGTATGTAGATCAAATAAAGACTGATTCTCTGACCATTTAAAGGTAAATGTAGTGTGTAACACAGTATCAGCTTAATGAAGGTATTCAGAGACATATTATAGAATTTGATTTTGTAGTGAATAGATTTCTTTTTTCATTCTTACATTTTCATTTTTAAGTGGTGTTGAATTTTAGAACTGCATTACTCTTTCTCACTCTTACATAAAGCTCATTTAAATAAATCAAATTATTTCAGGAGAAAACTGGGTAGTATCAGGATAGCAGTCTCTTACATCATCAGTCATTACATGCTGTCAATCTATGAATTGCTCCTGTCTATAGTAATTCTGTTTAAGCCTATATCATTATAATACCCAAGACAGTTATTTTAAATGATCTAAATATTTGCTCTTTAAGAATAAATTTGCTTTGAGCCAAGTAATTTAAGGCCTTGATCTACAGAAGAATGCATTTCTATGAATTATTTATATATTTTGAAAAGGTGCATGCTTCAGTGTTTTCTTGAAGGGAAGCTTTTGCCTTCTTCTTTTATGCTTTAGAAGTGCATCAAAAGAATTTTTATTTCAAATGGGATTAAATAATAAAAATGAGACCTTTCTGACTGAGTTCAGGTAACTTTTCAAGACAAAGCCATGTACAAGAAGGGATCTGTGCTTTGAAAGAAACAATTGCACAGCTTGATATGGAGAAGGCATCTTTGCAAGGCTGCGTGGAAGAAGGAAGAGAGAAGATTGTTACTTTTGAGGAAAGCCTGGCAATTAAAGTATGTTCTAATAAGCAAATAGTCCCAAAAGGTAAACAGGGAAAGGATCTGTTGGGTCATCACACCTATGTTATATTGGTATCTACAGCAGTGCTCAGTGCTGATCTAGTTCTGCTCCTTCAGGACAACAGTAAAACTCGTGTTGACTTCAACAGCAGTGGATGTGAGCATTGCTGATGACCTCATTTTAGGTATTTTGTATGACTTATACTTATCAAGAGAGGAGACTTTAAGTACTGTCCTGAAGTGGGAAAAATTAGCCAATAAAATATTTCATTTGCCATAAAAGTTAACCTAAATTCTTCCTTGGGATCCAGTGACATTAAAGATGCAGGATGCTAAATAATATTCCCTTTGTTGTCATTGAAGAAACATCTGAATTATATTCTTTTCACCTTAAGTTTATTGCACAGTGTGATTGCAATCTATATAATGAAGCTGCTTAGTTATTAGTTCTGAAACATTATTTTTCACTTCAGCTTAAGTGACAGGGATATTGATTTAGGACAAACGAAATAAGGTATTTTTTAACTGTTGTCATTTAACTCAAGAATTTGCATTGATTTTTAACAAAATCTTGAGGAAAAGATATTGCAGGACAGGCTAATATCATCTTGCCATGGGCACTGACTTTGTATTTTTACAATTGTAAATTGTAAAATGGTGTCATTAGGAAAAGAGATGGCTCTATCTCACCTCTCTTGTTTCTCAAGCAGAAGACATTTTCTAAGCCTATCTAGGCTTCTTTTAGTATCTCTATGCAAGGACAGAGGGGTAAAGTAATATACTTTTTGTTTTATCAATTACAAACTACCAGACTAGGAATTTATTCATTGTAGAAAAGCTGTGTTAACTTACCTAATAGGCAGCACACATCATTTAGTTCTGAGACTGTGAGCAAAGTTCTACGTTTAGAAACACAAAGGATAAAAAATATAATTAAAATTACAATATTCTGCAGATGATAACAACATTTCTTCCTTTATTTCCCAAATTAAAAAAAAAAAAAAAGAATTTTCAAATCTAAATAGTACATCATGAAGCTTGGAAAATCACAATCCATTTTGCATTAGATAGTTAAAATAATTAGCTAGATGAATAAAAAGAGATATAAATAACATTGCTTGATTTTTTCTTCCATTTATACTGAGGAGGGTGAGAGGTTTATTTTAATTCTGTATTTCTTTTCCAGGAGAAAATAATTTCAGATTTCAAGATTCTGATTTCTGAGTTGGAGCATTCCACAAAGTAAGAAATGTCAATAGTATTATCAAATTGTGATTAATTTATAGTGTTAAATAAAAAAATGAATCATAGGATGTACTCATGTAAAATTTTTTTTTACTCAAAGTAATATTAAAATGTTACAGCTTTCTTTCCTGACTTGAAAACTTGACCACTGGAAAAGCTGCCATTTGTATTTGATTGGGCAGTATTATCGTACCTGAAGAATTTTTTATCTGCTACATAGGACATCTGCTGAAGCACTCTCCCTTTGTGAGAAGGATATCACCAGTTTGCATCAACAGCTACAAGAAACCAACAAAGAATTGCACAGACCAACAAGAACAGAGAATCTTTAGCTCAGGAGAACGACAGGTTACAAGAGCACCTTTCTAATGTTAAGCAAGAAATTCAGGTATATTTGTACCAAGAACCCTTGACTATAAAGAAAAAACGGTGTCTTTTCCAAGCAGCGCAGGGAATCGGTGGATCCTCATTTGAAGTAAATCTGCAAATTAGCTTTAAATTTGTGTTTCAAACTCTGATTTTTCCCTTATTGCTCAGCTCACTTGTATGAAGAGGACCAGCTATTCTTATGTAATTGTTTAGATACTTATCTTGAGGAACAGCTAATTAATGTGTTTTTTTTTTCCTGATCCTAAAGTAAAACCATTGTGGCAGCTGTAGCTACCACTTATATAGAAAAGTACTATAAAGGAAGCAGTGAGTGTTCCTTATACTGTGCTGTGACTGGTCTAGAGTGCTTAAAAGCTTAGTACTTTCACCTGCTAATAATTTAACACGTTACACATTTTAACAAGGTTCTCGATGTTATTAATAGCATTTTATTGATGTGTGTTTCTTTAAAAGTGGCTTTTGGATAAAAGATAATGGAAATAGTTGGTTATAATGCAACCTTACATTGTCTACTGTGTTAATTATCTCTGTGCAGTTCCTAGTGAAAGTAATTAAAATATTTAGAGTGCCATCTCATGCACACACAATACTCCTGCACCAGCATTTTCCAAGCAGCTAGAAATTAAGATTAATACCTGTAGTAGTTTGTCCTTGTGTAATGTTCTTGTTTTCTTCTTTTTCTTCAGCTTCTTGCCTTCATTTAGGTTTTCTGTACTTGATCTTTCTCCTCTGCATTCAGTCTACTGCTCATCTGGTTTTCTCTACCTCTAGAAGTGCTATTTAGTTTGAAAGGAGCAAATTAACTGCACTTGATCTTAAGTATATAAAAGCTTTAAGTCATTAAGGCTCCCTTTTAAGTGAAGAAAATTCTTCCAGGAGATTCATCCCATTCCAGTTTTTACAATGATTATTACCTGTTTCTCTCCCTTCACTGAAGAGGCAGTGTAGCTAATGACTTTAGATTGGTGCCTAATTCTTTGCTGCAAAAATTAGATGAGACAACTTGCATTCTAAATAACTTCTCTCAAACATACTGACTGTTTCACTTTGGTGCCCTCCCTGAGTATCCAAGAAAAGGCAAGGTTTGTAGTGGCTTTAACCACTGAAGATTCTCCAGGGGATCTGTCATAGTTCGTATTTTTAGCAAAGAATTTTTCTTTCCTTTCCTCCTGCCTGTGTGTGTGCTCTGTGATGGGCCATTTTAGTTGAACAAAAGAATCACCCGGAGCCCTTAACGATGGAGATTTGTCTCCTTGACAACGAAGGGGGGAGCTGGCTGGTGTGTGACTGGAAGGGGGTGGAGGCTGGGGGGGGAGGAGACTCTCTCTCTCGCACTGCCGGGGTGAGAGGCTGCTGCGGGCTGCAGACACTGCCGGGCTCCTTTGTTTCTTTTCCTGTCGGAGGGGAGTTTCTGGCGGCTGCTCTTGGCTCACCTCTGGCTGACTACAAGCTCTGCTTACAACGGACCCTAATCAGCTGAAGTTTGTGAGTTTTCTTCCATTGGGAGAACTTTCTGTTTTATTGCTGTTGTTCCCCCCCCTCCCCCCTCCCCCCCGGTGGCAGCCAAGGATCCAACAGCGCCACCTGGTGACGGGCACTGGACATTACAAGTTCAACTCCTTCAGTGATCCAACAGCGCCACCTGGTGACTATAATAGGACACTACAAGTTTTTTTTACACCTTCAGTGACCCAACAGCGCCACCTGGTGAATGGTACAGGACATTACAAATTTTGCATCTCCAGTGACCCGACGGCGCCCCCTGCTGACTGTGGTTGGAACAGCACCAAAGGGTGCAAGAAATTGAACTATTTTTTTTTTTTTTTGCCGGTTTATCAGTTTTGTTCTTGAAGGGGATTATTGGTGGGTATAGGAGTATTACTTAGTTATTTTACTTGAGTTTTTTTTTTTTTCGTGTTCCTGTTAATACACACATACCTTTTAATAAAGGGCTGTTATTTTCCCTTTTCCATAATTTGTTTTCCTTCAATTGGAGCCTCTTAATTTTGGATTTATAATTGTTTGGAAAGAGAAGTTTGGGTCTTTTCCTCCTAATTCATCCTCAGCAAAAGACCCTTGTCTCATTTAAACTGGGACAGGATCACTATGCTTCACCTTCTCTCAGAAGCACAGTGGATACTGATGATCCCTCCAAGTTACTCCAAGTATTTAAAGGAGCATTCTCACTTCTTCATTTGGGCTTACTGGAATGTTCACAGATTTTCAGAGCACCCTGCTCTTCTTGCTTCCAGCTATTCAACCTTCTTTTAGATGTCCCAAAGAGCCTCTTCCCACTTGAAAATCTGAAGAACTTACATGGAAATTCACAGCATGGCTTTGGAAATATGCTGCAAACATATACATGTGGTTTGAGGGTTTTTCAGTTTTAATTGCAGATCACCTTTCTTTCATGAATATCATATAAGTTATTGAGGACTACTTAAACACATTAGATACTCAAGAGAACCAAACTGTTGCTGTTCAGAAAGTGGATGAGAACATAAGAATAACAAAACAGCAAAAGCACAGGAAGATTGTGTGGCAGATTTTGACTTTTCTTTAAAAAAATAATAAAACTGGCACATGGTCCTAGTTTGTCCAGAAAGCCTCAAACCAGAAGACATTTCATCCTTCTAATTCCACCCCACATGCCTGCTATTAAGTATAGGAGCAAGCAGGCCTCTTCATGGAAACTGTGTCAACATATTGGATCAGAAATCCAAATGTCACAGTCAGCTTCATAGCAGTTACATGCAGGGCACACATCCAAAACACAGAGGTTTTTGTTCAAAAGTCTTAATGTGCTCAGCAGTTCTCTGTGTTCCTTACGCTTTTTTTAGGTAAGACAGAGCTAGAATTAATGTGATGTGTTCCCCATACAGTTGTCTCTTGGGATGTAATTTCTAGTAAAGTCTTCAAGAAAATCATAGTACTTTACCTTTCACTTTGCTTTGCTGATCTCCCAGACCCATTCTGCCACTCATTGAAAATTTAGAAGTTAAAAGTGACTGACCAGGAATATCTGGGCAAAGAACAGGCATTTTTTCAAAGAGGAAAAACTTAGGTTGAGTTAATTTTAAGTTCATGAAATTCTTAATGCTTTTAGTCAGAACTGCTGCTGACTTGTGGACTCCTCTTTAACGTGGCTTTGTCATCTCATAGTCATGACTCAGTTTACAGGTGACAGCAGTATAAATATGACTGACAGAACATCAGCATTCACAAATCATCTACATTCAAAACCACATTTTATTGCTAAAATAAGAGGATCTCATTTGAAAATGAAATGCAATCCATGGCAGAATTTTCAACCTTATTAGCTCTGCAGAAGGAGTAGAACTCTAGGAATAGAGTTTAAAATGTCAGTAGCTAATTTTGCTGTCAGAAGAAAGAAGTATTCTCTTCTAGTTTTTACATACAGGAGTTATTTAAAGAAATAACTTCATGGTTTATTCTAGAATAAATTACTGCTGCCTCTTAAAATTCACATAGAGATATTTTGTAGGATCTTTGTAAATTATTTTTGCAGTAGCATTTTGATTATCTGATATTGCTTTACTGTAGCATTTACCAACAGAAACAGCATGCGAGTCTCATGTTTCTGTGTTAAGCAATTCTCTTCTGAAAATGGATAGAGAGCTCCAAAATATGCATTTGGAGAGTCTCTATACTTGCAAATCTCACATCTACACAAAAACTTTACATTAAACTAGATGCAGTCAAAGAACAATTAAATTAGCATTTAACTTCCACAGCAGAAAAAGTAGGGGCTTACTCCTCAAAGTTTATGTGCTGTATACTCTTTGAAAAGGACACTGCTTTGCAAGGCTTGACTATGAATACTCAAAAGTCAGGGCTTAAAATTACTGATTGTTTTCATGAAAGATATCTTGCATTTTTACATCTAATCAATAAGTGAGCAGAATAGTTGGGCTTGTTTATTAGCAATGAAACTTGACATGGACTTTAAAATAACTGACTGTTTTATGAAGTGTCAATATCTTTAATATTTTCTTAATTTCCCTTGAAATTTTTGTTGACCTTGATTTTTACAAAAACTAGAAAATTAATATTTGAAAGGCAAATGTTTAAAAACTTGCCTTGGATAGCTTTGGATAAACTAAGCTTGGATAAACTTTGAAAAGTTCTTCACACATACCTACATTATTTAGATATTTTCAGTATGATTCTGTCACTGCCCTGTCCATCCTCTGCTCCAGCTGAGATAATTTCTTGTTATTCACAGGCTTCCAGGATTCTCTTTAAACCTTTATGCCTTTTGCATACATCATGGGTAAAGCTGCTGTTTGACGATTGGTTATGTGTTCTGTCCACATGTGTGTGATGTCTTTTGTATGCTTGTGGAATCCTCCGTGATTCTTTTGATAGGGAAGAGTTCCAGCATATGACATTTATCTCAAACTTTTATGAGATCTAATATGATTAAGCCTCCCTGGATCCTTTTGTGAGATTGTCCGTGAAGAGGATTGCTGGGACTGTGGAGAACAGCAACAGTTCTGGGAAAGAAAAGTGCAGAAATGCAGTTGGAGATTTGGAGAAAAGTCTGCAGTTGGGGAATTTTCACTAATTTTTCCATATCTTTCAACTAGTAGTCTTTCATCAGCCATGTGTAACCTTCAGATAGGGCTCTTACTTTACATAGTATTTCAGTGCAGAATCTGCATTACTAGATTGAAGCATATGTATATTCAGAAGTGGAAACTAAACCTGAAGTTTTTAGTGTTCTTTTGTTCTGAAACACAAATGTAGAATATCAAAACTGTTTATCTGCAAAGGAACTGGATTTTTGAGTGACAGTTCATAGAAAATGGGATCTTTCAGAATGAAGAAACCTTTCAGTTTAGTTTGGTAAGAGAAAAAAATTAAGCTTTGCTTTGGTAGGTGAAAAATGCTTTTTTCTTTTTTTTTTTTCCTTTGGCCCCCTCCCTGTTGGGCTATGATCTGAGTTTTCCCAGTATCTTCCTTCTTTGAGCACAAAAATAATTATCCTCTGAAAATTCTGAGGAATGTGCTGGAGAGGTGGGTGTTTGCTACGATGTCTCAGTTCACAGATTTCCCATGACCTTTGGCTGAGCATTATTGTGTGTAAAGTAAACTAGCCTTGCGTAAAATACAGATAAAAGTATTTGCAGCACCCCAAACAGACTCAGTTAGACAGACTAAAATGCATACATGAAAAGATGAAGGGAAAATAGCAACTAGCTTACTTATGCTATTTTTTTTGTATGTAGCTATGTCTCAGATATGTCCATCTTTCCCTTGGCAGTGAAATAAACTAGATTTTATGGGTATTCTTCTTTTATAGATTTCCCCAAGATATGTAGACACTTAATATCTTGGTTTGTATTTTACTCCTTTCCCTTTTCCCTCCCCCTTACTCTTGATGCTCCTTTAAGCAAATTAAGTGCCTTCTCACTCTGCTGGTGATGCTGATACTGGTTTGTTTTATCAGGTGTTATTTCCTGCTTGCAAATAGTTAATCAATAGCTTCTTGCCTCAAGAAAATGTGAAACTTGCTTCCTGTTCTTTAATGATTCTGTCTACAGAATCCATTGATCCATCTATTTCATAGCATTTTTTAGTCATTTGTATCAAGTACAGTTATATTCAGATATATAGATTGAATGAATTGGTAAATCTGACAGAGGATTTTGACTAGGAAAGTATAACACTAATCCCCCATATTGGAGTAAAAGCAAATTTTGTCATTGATCCCAGACTTCCTTTTTTATATTTATTTTTATTATTTTTTTTTTTTTAAGTTACCCTAATAAAATGACATTAGGTTTAATAGATATACATCTGAAACTTTAAAATCTTTGTTTAGCTGCAGAGGAAGTGCGAGTCATCCCATTCTGAAACAGAGCTGCTGAGAAAACAACTGGGAAATGAAACAGTGTCTATGAAAAACCTGGAATCTTTGCCTGTGTCCAATTGTGAGAAGGAATTTCAGTCACAGACAGCAAAGCAAGACAAAGACTCTCAAATTCAGTTTCTCAAGGAACAGCTTGCTTTAGAGAAAAATCCTCTGTGAGTAAATGACCAGGACAGTATTGCAGGTTTTCTCATTCTTTCCAAGGGTATATAAACAGAGATGGTTTTATATCTACCTGCATTTTCAAATGTCCAATGTACCTTGCTACCTTAATAGCAGAAGGTACCAAAAACCTACTTTTGATTCCTCAGCTATACTCTAATAGACTTTTTTGCATAGTGTTATATTTTGCTCAAGAAAAAAAAAAAAGTTCTTATTCTCAATTG